AGCTTGATGCTAGGAGAACAGAGGTTCTTGGGAATGCAGCCAGTACACTTCAAAGGGAAATTCGTAGCTTATATTACTAGGAAAGACTTTGCTCCGTTGCGAAAAGCTGCTATCCAATTGCAATCATGTTGGCGAGGTAGGTGAGGATAGATATTCGTTCGGTCTAATTTCAGCTTTCATCACTTATTCAAGAAGAGCATCTGAAACAGTATGGACATCTTAATAGGATGTAGTAGAACCATTATATAATTTACAGGATGTTGGGGGGGGGGGGGGGCTATCTGAGCATCGACCTTTTTTCCATTTGTAGTTTGAACGTGAACATCTTGGCCATTTATCCGGGTTATTTGGCCATCTATCCATGCCAAAACTGGATCCTCAACCCATACATGAGAACCAACAATAATGTTGACAGATGATGCCTGCAAAATGATACACGAGAAAGAAATCGTTAGAAATGTCATTAAAAATTAAACAAACAATCATCAGTACACAAACTAACTGTCAGAAATATCTTCATTCAATATATAGAAGAGGAAACAAGAAACTGCTACAACATACAAACTTTTTTCATGTTCAATGTTCCCATCCGCAAATATAGGCTACCAAAAAAAAGAGGGGAAATCTCAACTTGAAAATAGAGTGCTCTGTGGAGAGCAAAACAAATTAAGAAATGAACTCATCCCTTAAGACTAAATTAATCTCACTCATTAGCATGCAACGCCTATCTATTTGAATCGAGTAAATTGGATATTAGTACAGAAAATAACTTTTAATGCCAAATTTTGAAGGATTTGCTATAATCTAAGACAACAGTCCCCAAACCTCAGCTTCTTGCTATGATTTTTCTTGGTGACAACAAAGCTATACTACGATTTTTAAAGTTCCCAATCTAATTGCTATCAGGAATGTAATGCCAAAGCTATACTAAAATCTCAACAGTGCTGGAAACCTATTTCTAAACCTATTTTACTAAACCTGAGTTGTATATCAACAGCTTTATACAAGAGAATTGATTAATTGTCTAGGGCTGCTCAAGAATGTATTCTGTAACAGGGGGAGTTGTTAACAAATAGAGCCATCAATACATTTCAATTGAAGCTAAGAACAATTAACTACAAAACGGCGAATGCTTCAATAACAATCATTGGCATTTAATACTAAAAATAGCTAAAAAATAGCACAGGTTATCCAGCAGCTGCTGAAAAATCGAGTATGATTTTCTATTGACTCAAATTGACTAAACCTCAGTCAAAACGAAATCAAAGCAAGTCCAAGCACACATCAAAACGGCAGCGGAGGAGTCGTTTCAGTCATCTACTACGTACCATATCCGAGTTTGAACTCGACCCCTGGCTCCTCAGATCATCAACACGAAGTGAAAAATTCGAACCACGACTCACTGAGTCAGATCGGAGCTAACCCGGTGAGGGCACCTCCAGGATTTTCCCAAGCTAGAAAAAACAATTGAAAAAAAAATTAAAAATAAAGCAAAATCAAAGCTTCTTTTTCTTCTTCCGGTTAATAATTCAACAACTTCTGCTGCTCCGACGCTTCAAATCCACCAATATCCAGTTCAAAGTATACGCGAGTACAACGCGAGTGTATGTACGTAGAGGAAATTGAGCTGTTTTTTTGTATATATTTCTCTCTAGAAATTTACTGGCTGGATAAAGTATTCGTTTTGTATGATTTTGAGTAATTTTTTAATTGCATTTTCTCTCTCTAAAATTTATATAGCGCTATTTATTTTTTGTCCACACGCATAATTAGATTATTATTAGAAAGACAAAAACAAGGTTAGCGGGGGCACTTTACACTAAACCCGACATTAGACACTACTTTCCAGCCTAATTGTGTTCTTCTTATTTACGGTTTAGCCCCCAGCTGAGGCCATTTGTGAATAAGAGTGAAACGCAAAAGAAAAAGGGCAATTTTTGAATTTCGAAACTAGCTTCTTCATTTCAATTTCAATTTTTTATTTTTGGAACCAAATTGAAATCAATTTGTCAATTTCGAATTGTTTAATTTTAATTTGATTCGTTCGATTTAATTCCTTATTTTCACAATTCAAACAAATTCAACACATAAAATTTTAAACTCCTTGATTGTGATTTTATTTATTTTGTTCAAATATTATACACAATGGTCAATGGAATCAAGTTTCTAAAATTATACGCTAACCCAAATCTAATATGATATTGAGTTCAACTAAAGTGGCTAATATACAATATTAATTAGAGATAATTATTGAAAAAGGGGATTGTATACTAAGGCCTCGTTTGGTTGCCAAGATTAGATTAGTCAATATGAAACTAAATAATCTAATAAAACCCAATTGTTTTATTCCTTGTGTGATACTCCAAACTCCCCATGAATTGGTTATTCCTAAGGGCTCGTTCGGTTACCTATATTTGATTAGATTGGATTAACTCCCTACTGACCAATTAGTTATTTAGTTAGTAGCATGTTCGGTTTTCTAGATTGGATTTTCTATTAAATTTATTAAAATTAGTTATTATATATGAATTGTCTATAAAACCTCTAAGTTTACAATAATAAAATATAATTTTAAGGATACAATTGTATTTTCGCTTATTAGTAACCCCTATTAAATTAATCTCAGGAGAGGGGTGTTACTAATTTAATGAAATAGTAGCATCTAATAGCGGACTTTGATTTTAGTAGCGGGTTCGAAAAAGTGTGAATCTTGCCAACCGGACATACTATTAGCCCCTACTATTTAGTCAGTAGAACTTTATAGCGGTAACCGAACGAGCCATAAATGAGTTGGAAGGTCCAACAAAAAAACATGCTTAAAAGACAAGATAAGCCATAATAATATAATTTTTACGGGTCGACCCGGCAAGTTATTGGGATACCAAACATCCAACAAAGTCCAACTATTTAGTTAATCATGGATAATCTTCCAACGAAACGGGGCTAAGTCAATTAAATAACATCATTCGTAAGCAATTAGTCAATAGTTTAATTCTTGAAGAGTTTGAAATTTGAAATACTGAATATTTTGTGTAAAAGGATGTGTTGGATATTATATTTTTAATTTGATTTAATATATTTGTATATTTTAGTTAGTAGTGGTATTTGGACCTGGACCCAGTCAGTGTCCTGATCTAATTCATTTCTTAGTAACTTGGGCTTCAATTTGAAAGCCCAACTTCACTTGCAACTCAATTAATAGTTTTTATAAGCAATATTTTTCCTACTAGATTAGTGTTTGCAAAAGCTTTTAAAAATAGATTATGAGTTTTTTTTCATAATTTATTTTTAGATGTTTGTAAAACCGACTTTTGTTTTTCTTCTCTTAAAGTAAGATGTTTTATGTTATAATTTTAAAAACACCCATGTACCTGCTTTTTCTATTTAAATTGATTTTCTAGATTTTTTGCAAACTCTCCCAATTTTTTAAACTAACCATTTAATATCAACTTAACACATAATCACTAACTTATGCTTTTAAATAAGCTTTTGCAAACACCACCTAAGAAAATCAATTTTGTAAACGATTATTACAAGTTAAAACACACACCGTAAGAAATTTAAGAGCTCATTGCAAAAAATCTACATTGATGAGGGAAGAAAAAAAACACATTAAAAATAATGTGCGAAGTATATAGGAAAATATACATATGTGAAAATGGATGTTGTCAATCCAGCGAGGACATTACGTGTGTGTATTCTTTGGATCATTAAAAAATATTTTAGAGAAATTATCTCTTTCCCTAAAACAAAATGGTTTGATTTCCAATGAAAAGAAATCGACGTGCAATATTACGAGATTGATTTTTATGAAGTATGTCTCAATTACAGATTTATTGAGATTGCAAACTGAAATTTGAGTAAAGATCTAAAATCTCATTAAATAAAAAAATATTAAATGTATATTAATATTAATTTTCATTGTATATTACAAAATAAGCATATAAGTAATTAATTAAATTGTGTTTACTGTTCAATTAAAATATACCATGTATGCCAAACTTTGTACTTTGACCATACTTTTTTTTATAGGTTTTGTTTTGATAAAGTTTTTTTTATATATTGATCGAAACAATGTTTTTTTTTCTTCTTGGGAATTAGAATTTAGTTTTTATATCACATATATTATCAAAAAAATTGAATTTGAATTTTAATTCTAAGAGTATGCATGATTATTAGAATCTTAATTTTGAATATAAGTTTGTAAACATTCATATATTAGATTTAATATAGTTGAAATGTACTTAAATGTACATAAAAATATAGTCTATATTTACTATTGTTTACGTTTATCTTACTGTCGACTCCAATGAAATTTTATTTTTTTAATTAAGGTCATTTAGTAAAAATTGTATTTATTTCTTACACTTTTAGGTGATTCATGTTTCAGTAATATGTATCACTGATTGTATTTGAAAAATAAAAAATATGCATGTTATTCGCAAGGAATTATACGAGTTATAGGCGATGTCAATGCATGTGTTGTAAAACACTACTTTGATAATTAAGTTTAATGTTGAGAATTCGAGTGTCTTGGACGAGATAGTTGTACCATTTGGGTCGAATAATGTTTATTTTTTGTATCACAATTTTATAAATTTTTATATTTTATTTTTTCATTTATTTTGTTTAACTCGGTACTTAAATCAAATGAAACATATATTATTTTTTAAGATTTTGAATTATATTATATTTTCATTTCTTTAAATTGTCCCATGAATCGTATTAACACACCCTCTTTTCATTCATAGAGATATTCAATTTACATCCTCGATGTGTTTTAGTCATTAATATATTTTAATTTTAGAATAGATTCCCGTGCGTTGCACGGGTGAGTTACTAGTTAAAAGTTAAAACACACCTCTTAAGAAATTTAAGAGCTCATTTAGCTAAACTTACTTAGGTGGTGTTTGCAAAAGCTTTTAAAAATAGATTATGAGCTTTTTTTTTCTCACTTAATCTGTTTTTAGGTGTTTGCAAAACTGACTTTTGTTTATGCTTCTCTTAAAATAAGTTGTTTTAAGCTATAATTTTATAAGCACCCATGTATCAACTCCTATGTATAATTTTATAAACACCCATGTATAATTTTTATAATTTTATAATTTTATAATTTTATAACTGCTTTTCCTATTTCAGTTATTTTTCCAGATTTTTTGCAAACACCCCCAACTTTTAGAATTAAGCACTTAATATCAACTTAACTCACAATCACCAACTTATGTTTTTAAGTAAGCTTTTGCAAACACCACCTTAAAATATCATATAAGCTTTCACATCTTATGAGATGTTTTATGAACGGATAAACTCTTGGATCTTATTATTCTGTATTCAGTATTCGGATATACTCTATATTTGTAAATTGAATGCAAATAAGCCTAATACTTGAATCTTCGAAATTTGAGGATTCCATCACGTTCTTAATATTCGATTCGATTAAAATGTGTGGGGGAAATTCCCTATAATAGAGTACCAATTGAAATGAGATTAGATTTGATTGAATCACAACACGTGTGGCACGTGTGACCATTATTTGGTAATTATATCTTTATTTTTATTTTTCTTTTTTTCCGTTTTATATAAACGATAATGCTCGAATTTTAAAAACGCTGAAACGCCCACCACCACCGCCGCCGCCGTATAACAAATGGCTTCCTCTCAACTCCTCAACTCTTCATCCCTCCTTTCCAAATCAAGCTCGCCATCTTCACACCGTCACTATGGCTGCCGCCGCCTTAAACCATCACCCTCCATAATATGCACCGCCGCACCGTCAATCACTTCCCCACCACTCCCTCCGCCTCTTCCGGCCACATACTCCGCCAAGTACGTCCCATTCACCTCCATCTCCACCGGCACCGCCACCTCCGAGTCGTACTCCCTCGACGAAGTGGTCTACCGCAGCCGCGACGGCGGCCTCCTCGACGTCCAGCACGACATGGACGCCCTGAAGCAGTTCGACGGCCACTACTGGAGGTCACTCTTCGACTCGCGCGTCGGCACCACGCGCTGGCCGTACGGATCCGGCGTGTGGTCCAAAAAGGAGTGGGTGCTCCCCGGAATCGCCGACGAAGACATCGTCAGCGCGTTCGAGGGGAACTCCAATCTCTTCTGGGCGGAGAGATTCGGTAAGAAGTTCCTCGGGATGAACGATCTGTGGATCAAGCACTGCGGAATCAGCCACACCGGCAGCTTCAAGGATTTGGGGATGACCGTTCTCGTCAGCCAAGTCAACCGCCTCCGCAAATTGAACCGCCCGCTCGTCGGCGTCGGCTGCGCCTCCACCGGCGACACATCCGCCGCCCTCTCCGCCTACTGCGCGGCGGCGAACATCCCCTCCATCGTCTTCCTCCCCGCGGACAAGATCTCCATGGCTCAATTGGTGCAGCCGATCGCCAACGGCGCGTTCGTGCTCAGCATCGACACCGATTTCGACGGCTGCATGAAATTAATACGCGAAATCACGACAGAGCTCCCGATTTACCTGGCGAATTCGCTCAACAGCCTGCGGCTGGAGGGGCAGAAAACCGCGGCGATCGAAATTCTGCAGCAATTCGATTGGGAGGTTCCCGATTGGGTGATTATCCCCGGAGGAAATTTGGGCAACATTTACGCGTTCTACAAAGGATTCAAAATGTGCGAGGAGTTAGGGCTGGTCGATCGGATTCCGCGCCTCGTCTGCGCGCAAGCACAGAACGCAAATCCACTCTACCGATATTACAAATCCGGCTGGAAGGAATTCAAGGCGGTGAAAGCGGATGACACGTTCGCCTCGGCTATTCAAATCGGCGACCCGGTTTCGATCGACAGAGCAGTTTATGCTCTGAAGAACTCGGGCGGGATCGTGGAGGAGGCGACGGAGGAGGAGCTGATGGACGCCATGGCAATGGCGGATTCGACCGGAATGTTCGTCTGCCCGCACACGGGCGTTGCTTTGTCGGCGTTGATGAAGCTGAGGGAGAATGGGGTTATCAAGCCGACGGATCGGGCGGTGGTGGTGAGTACGGCTCATGGGTTGAAGTTCACGCAAGCGAAGATTGATTACCATTCCGGTAAGATTAAGGAGATGGCTTGCCGGCACTCGAATCCTCCGGTGACTGTGAAGGCTGATTTTGGGTCGGTCATGGATGAACTGAAGAAGTACTTGGCTAGAACGAGATGAACATGGTAAAATTCAAATGGTAGAAATTGTATATGAGTCCTTTTTGTTTTTGTTTTCTTTCAGTTTGAGATTTTTTTTTATATATATATAAATGTAAGTCGTGTGGTTGTTTTAATTTGTGAATCTTGGCTTTTAGGTCTTTATAGAATACGATCATATTCGTCGTCGCATTTACATGCAAACTATGTACTACGGGAACTTCAACTTAACTTCAACTTTTTAGTGTATTCGTGTTGACACGTTTTACAAACCATGTAGTACGGAAACTTCAACTTTCTACACTCTTAGTGTAGCCGTGTTGACACGTTTTGTATCATCGAGGACACTTTATAGACCCACTTTGCAATTACAGAAAAAATTATGAACATATTTGAATAGTAAATTCTCAAATATTTTTCTTGATACCCTAATTAATTACATAATTTAATAATCATAATATTTCAGAACTTAATTAAGTCAAAGTCAATTACATGACTTAATTTTATGATAGTGGCTGGAATTCAGATGACTATTCGACCTAAAATATTGATAAATAATTAATTTTTATATTAGTATTTCACATTGACCATTAAATTAATTACTCAATTAAATATAGAGTGGCCGGCAGACGGCAGTTTCCTCTTACAAGTTAATGGTGGAAGAATGTTGGCTGGCCTAGTCTGGTATACTTTTCTTTCTTAAATATGTTAAAATTATATTACTAGTTTTATTATTATAATATACATCTCAAAACCCTTCAGTTGGTCTCAAGAGCCATTAATTAATTAATTTATTTTTTATTCTAAAAAAACTAGTCCTATAAATAGTACACAAGACTACAACATTGACTATTTCAGACCAAAACTGAATTAGATGACTTATCCCAAAAAGAAGAAGAAGCACAACAACCATAACCGCCATTTTTATCTAGTTCAAGAAAAAAATCTAAACACTGGCATTTAAAAATAGAAAAATAGCCCTGATAGATTCACAACTACCATTATAGCATACGTCTAAAAGAGGATTAAAAAAACAAATTCACACTAATTTAGGATTAAAAAACCAAACAGAATATAGAAAAAATGGGGAGAAATATACCTTCATCTCTTCTTCTTTGGATCTATCCACTTTCAAGAATACCTATAAAACGAAACACTCTTATCGTCCGAAGCACTAGCTAGCAAACAAGACCTCACATCCGTCCTCAGAGGCGGTCCAAACGCCACCGCCCAAACCTGGTCAGCATGGCCGGTCAATATCTGAGTGGCCGCCCTCATTTTCAAATCCCACAGCCTAACGCTCTTATCACTTGATCCAGTCACAACTGCCGCCCCGTCAGGCGAAACATCCACGCTCAGTACCCAGCTCGAATGCCCCGACAGAGAAGTAATCATAGTCTTCCTCTCGGCATCGTATAAATGGACATGACCATCGTCGGAGGCGGAGAAGAGCACCCTCGAGTCGAGAGGAGCGGTGGAGTAGACTAGGCTGCGTACGGGCATGGTGTGGCCTTCGAGGTGGTGGAGGAATTTGGAGCGGTGAACGTCGAAGACTGAGATTGTGCCGTCCATTGAGCCGCAGGCGATTTGTCTGCCGTCGGGGGACCATGCTACTGAGAGGGTGAATTTTTTGTTGCCGCTCTTCTCGGAGGGTTTCAGGCCTTCGGGACGGGGGACTTCTAGTGTGGCGATTAGTTTCCATTCAGCAGTGTCCCATAGCTTTATTGATGCGCTGCCGCCTCCAGCTGCCGCCAGTGTTGTGCCCTGAGTTGGATAAAAGACAAAATAAATAAATACAGAAGTCTATATAGTTGAGTATATAGACAGCAGAATTCGAGAATGCCAATTTGTGATATTAATGCTTCTCAAAATTCCTGGAAAGAAGGTATAATATAATGTTATCAGAATCACAGTTTTATGACCAGCATATGTCGAAATAGGAATAGTTTGTGAAAATTAATGTTGCCAGACGGGATTACGTTAACAAAGTGGAAAAGGAATATAGCTCATAAATGAGAGTAAATACTCTTAAGCTTTGAAGAGGGAGGGAAAAGAAAAGGGAAATATCAAGATTCACAGTTCTTGAGTTGTCCTTCAACAGAAAAAAAATGGGGAAAGAAGGAAAAAATCTCATGATGAAATCGTAACACTTCGATTTTTCTAGTACTCCTGAAACGAGAAGTCTCACTTTCCTTCTTCTTGATAACCATTTCAAGAAAAGGATTCTTAGGTAAGTAAGCTATGGCAATAATAGAGAGAATGCCTCTACTATTGTTAACTTTCATCAGTCTGCATTCCTGAAAGGGTTTTTGAGTCAACATTCAACCCACGTGGTAGGTGAAGGCACATATACTACTAGGCAGATAAAAGATTAATAGAGCCACCACTCTAACTTACGTAGAGTATAATTGTTGGGATAAGGAGAATTTATCCCCGAGACAGTAAAAAATCAACATAGAAAATTTTATTTGGTTCATAAGGATTCAGGATATAGTTTACGAGGTAAGATTTTTGCTCAAGCGATGGTGATGAAGTTCCAGATTTCCCAACCCTGGGTGGCATCTTTTATTTTTTTCGTCAACCCATTCCTTTGGTCAACTAAACATTTTCCAGTTTCCTTCTACATCGAACACTGAGAGAAAGTTAAATCCATTTTTTTCTAATAAAAATAATATCAAATAGTTTGAAACGTATAATATCCAGGGAGTGATTAAAGTTAGTAACTGGAATTTCTTACAAGCTAATGGGGAATTCAAAGTTCGCATAATAGTTGAAATCAAGCAATTAGAAAAAAACTTATAAGACTACCAATCAAAGGGGGAAAAAAGAAAAAAGAAAAATAAATCATGTATAAGTATTCCATGCCTTGCAAAACTCGTCATACACGTGTTAACCCTCATTTAATGACAGTAAGTACGTCAACGAATCCTCAGTTAAGGGATTCACGAACTGATTTTGTCATAACAGATACAAATGAGCCTTCAAATAGTAAATACGACCACTTGCCAAAATCTTCCTGCAATTATGCATGATATTTTCATTTTGTTTGCTTCTTTACATTCTATTTAAGCTTCACTAGATGGCAATTCGCTTATTCCCAATCGCTTCAGTAATAGCAAAATTACAATTTTCGAGTCACATCTGTTTGTCTCAACATATACATTATTTAATCGGAGATTCTTTGTTTTCTATTTTCGTTTTTACTCCAACATATGTCTGGTAAATATACAGAATGTTTCTACTAAGTTGAAGTGGTAATGTACTCCCAAAATAGCTTGCATCTGAAGAGTCAAGAGATTTTCTTAGATCTTTACTGGTTTTGTTTCCTGTAATAATTGTATAATCACCGAAAGAACCAACAGAGCCCCTTGCTGAAACAAATTAGACTTTTAATACACCAATTTTACAATGCCAATTCCATGATAGCAGCAATTGTTGTTCATAAGCCAGAATAATTTAGTCACAGATGTAAACATGCACAAAATCAAGCAAACAAAATTATGAACAAAAATGCACGAATTTAAAAATTCAAAAACTCAATACCTGGGGATTGAATTGCAATTGCCAGACTTCAGAAGGCGGAGCCTCGAGCGTGGCGATGGTGTTGTTTGTAGCGACATCAAAGACTCGTACGAAGCTGTCAATGGAGGCGGACGCCGCGATTCTGCCGGAGGGATGGGCGGCCACCGAAACGACGCCGAGGCAGTGGCCGGTGTTAGTCAGCACCTTCTCCGGCCCTTCCGGATTCCACAACCGCACCGTCTCGTCAAGCGACCCCGTCAAGAGCAGCGGCCCCGAATCATCCGTCGCCGGAACCCACGCCGCCGTCCAAACCGAATCGTCGTGGGCATTCTGAACGGTGTTCAACGGCGCCAATTTCATGGTTTCTGTGAATTTGATTTGGTGTGTGAAACCCTAGCTCAGGTGTCAATGGTGGTGTGTGCACTGAGGGTGGCTGGAAATTTACTACAAATGGTAAAATGTAATTCGAAAATCCGGGTCGTTGCAAAAAAGTATTTCTATTTATTATTTTATTTACACAATAATAATTAAAAAAAAAAAAAAAAAAAAAAACTCGTATTCATATTTAATTATTTCGAACTTCCCGCATGTTGCCATGAAGTCCCTATATATTTCAATATTTAATTATTGAACCACAAGTGCTATTTTTATTTTCTAAAATTTGTATACCCAAAAGAATATTGGGCTCAACAAAAATAGGCCCATAAAATGTCTTAATTACATTGGGCTCCTAATTATTTTAAAGGTCCGTTTGAATTTTATATTTTATAATTTCCCATTATACATTTAATTTTTTGTTTAATCATAAATTCTCAAAAACCCTAGACAAAAACCCCCAAATGCGAAGAAGGTAAACAAAACCCATCTGCGCACACAGAAACACAGAGTGGAGGTGGGGAAGAGATGGTGTGGTTTCAGTGCGAGGATTGCGGCGACAATCTTAAGAAGCCCAAGCTTCCTAATCACTTCCGACAATGCTCTGCTTACAAGGTTTCAACATTTTACGCCGTCGTTTTTTAACGAATTGTTCGTATTTTGTTAATTTTTGATTAAATTAACATTCGTTTTTGCTGTATTTCTTACAATTGCAATAGCTATCGTGCATTGATTGCGGGCAAATATTTGGGCAGCAAGACGTTGAAGGTCACACTCAGTGCATCACTGAAGCGGTAATTTATTTTATTTTATTTCAATTTGTTTGGGTATTTCGGATTTATGTTGCTGAATTTTGTTTACACTTTTTTTTTTTCTCAGTCTACTGCATTTCTTTAACAAGTTCATCTGGTTTGGATTTTTCTTTAGCTCTCTAAAATGGGATGTTTGATGTACTCTCTTATTGTTTGACTTGTTATGCCAGGAAAAATATGGTCCAAAGGGTCAAACAAAAGCTGCAAACGGAACGAATACGAAGCCGAAAAATGACGGAAAGCAGAGACCAGAGGTCGATATAAATGTTGGTCTGTCGGATCGCCCGCCGTGGTTCTGTAGGTATGTTTCGATCAATCCAAACATCACTTTCGTACTTTATTCCGTCTGATAAATATTTAGTGCCTGGTAAATAGTGTTCGTAATAATGTTAAAGTATGTGTTCTTCGTTACGTGACGTAGCTTCATGCAAGTGACCATTTCTTGATGCTATTGCTATGTGCTTAAGCTGCTACGTATTCTGCTAAAATCAATTTTGAGTTTCATAGAATCGGTAATTTGGTCGCTCCATTTACAGTTATCAAGATATTATCGAACAATTTGTGATTAGGAAAGTCTAGAGATCCCTTCTCACTGTGTTCTTTTTTCGCACGGCTTCTCTGTCGCTGTTCCTTTGTTAATTTTGAAATCTCGTTAATTTGTTGATTTCTCAGCCTGTGTAACACTAAGGCGACAAGTAAGCAAACCTTGCTCCTCCATGCCGACGGAAAAAAGCACAGGGCAAAAGCAAGAGCATTCCATGCATCGAAACAGCCGCCTAATAACGGTGCCGCAGAAACCAACGGTTCCAATGAAAACAAAACAACAAACGAAATTCCCGAAAATAAAGTTGCTCCTCAGCTTGATGGCCCCGAAGTGGAGAATGATGCTTTGGCATCAAACAAGAAAAGAAAAGCCGATGCCTCTGAAAATGACGGTGCTCACCCCAAGACTGGAGGTGAAATTTCTGCAGAGATAGGCAATGGCGAAGTTGTTCAAATCAAAGGATCAGAAACGGAGGTGAAAAAAGTGAAGAAGGCTAAACATGGTGCAACAGAGGAAGACGCAAAAACGGATTCCACCACCGACAAGGATATGATTTGCAAGAAGAAAATAAAGTGGAAAAAGCTTATTACTTCAGCTCTGGAATCTGTATGTACACCTCTACCCTTTAGCACTATTTGAGCCTTTTATAATATTTGAATACCTCCCGATTTGCATTTGGTACTTACTATCTTAGCATGTGTACTTGGAATATGGGGCATTGTTTTTTTTTTTTTCCTATGGGTTTCGTTTTAAATAATAGTGTTTTCACTTGTGTAATAATATTTTTCTTTCATGTGACAGTATCCAGATGGCGTGGTGAAATTCAAGAAACTTAGGAAAGAAGTTATGAAGTCACTGAAGGAAGCTGGCCACACAGAAGAAAAAAACCAAGTATCTGAAATCCTTGAGCATAATGTAAGTCGAATTTTTCATATATATTCTTTATCTGCCAGCGTACTGATAAATGGTGGCCCCCCAATTGTTAATAGTTGTCTCTTCATCGTTATGCAGATAAATTCAAGCTCGAGATTTGTTGTTGATGGAAAATATGTCCGCCTAGCAAAATGTTCGTAGCTAAGATTGGATATCGGTAACTGCAAGATTTATACCGTTGCTAAATTCACTTTAAGTTGCTACGATTGGAAGCTTCGGTTTCGGATTTTTAGCTTCAGCACACGTAGCCCAGGTTTACGTTCCAGAGTATACAGTTTGTCAGTGTGTGCTGGAGAGTTGGATACTAGTTGGATACTGAGGATATAATTTCTACTTTTCAGTGATTAATTAATTGTGACAATGAACTAGAACCTTATATTATTCTTGCAACTTTCTCCTGAATGGAGTGTAGTTCTTTCATTTATTTTAAAATTCCTTTTTCAGACTCGACAAACTTAGTTTAAAAAAAGAAAAATTGTTCAAACTATTCAATCTCAATTTAATAATAATCACTAATCCTGAAATTGAACTTACCAGAGATTTCTGATTTTCTGATTTTCTTTTTTTTTCTTCAAAAGGTATTTTAATTAGTTCTAAAGTCGGCCGAGGTGGCCGATTAATCAGTCGATGAGGTTGGGGTAGGTCCAAACCTTTACGATTTTGGTGTAAAGGTTTGAAAAATCAGTATTTGTTTTGTACGGTAGTATATATATATATATATATATATATATATCTCTTTAATCACTATATTGTTGAACAAGCTCAGCGAGTGCCTGGACGAGTACGTCTGCTTCTTCAGCCAAGATAGAAAGCCTTTCTGCCTCTTTGAATGCCTCAGCAGCCGCGTACGACTTGTTTTCAGCTTCTGCAATTCTGTGAGCAGCAATACGACATGCTTCTTCAACTGTATCTCCGAGATAATCCATGCTCTCATCATCAGCTTCAGCTGGGATTTTCGACTCCACTACTGCATCATCATCCCTTTTAGTTTTGAAGCAATTACCAACCTATAATTAATCGAATTTCAAGATTATAATGAGGAGTTAGCTGACATGGCAAATCTCTCAAAATGAACAATAATTATATTTGTCAACTCAAAAGATTTGCACCTTTTCAAGTTTGCCTTCTTTCACAAGGCAGTTTAATCTAGAACGCAAATTCTTTTTGAAAGTCTGCGGCACCTCGTAGATTTGCTGCGTGAAATATAGCCGAGCATATATTATAATCGATGTTAGCACCATTAGGGAGGAAATTGGTCGAAACCAAATTTAATCTACAAATCTTGTGCATGTGTAAAATTAATAATTCTACAAGCTAGTGATTGTGCTTACTAATAATGTGTAACAAAAGAAACTTTGTACTTGGAAATTTCAAAAAACAAAATCAAACTAATAATATTAATAACTCTGATGACTTTCAGCAACACATGGAAGATTGGTTATATATAAAAGTTAGTGATGGCATGCATGAAAGACAAACCTCAATGTAAGTAGCAATTGCAACCAAATCCGATCCATTCGGCTCTTTAAGATTAGACAATGCATCATATATCAAGGGATCGTACCTGAGAACAACGCAATTAATTCACGACCTAAACAAAAAGGTCAATAACATGTATCGTAATCTAAGTCACCGCCCTTACGCCGCTAATTGAAGATTTCCATCTACAAACACATCAGTTTGCATCCGAGTACACGAACAAGAAATTTGTTCGTGGAGTTCAATTGTCTACGTAAGTATGACATTCACTAAGCAGAATAGATCGTTAATTGGCATCTAATGTGAAATAAGCCTTCACCATTCACAACAACACCAAAAGATCACACACGTGTAAGCTTTCTCGAGACTAAAAAAGCAAAATCAGCGCATTACTAGACGATCAAGTTTTGCTAGCATAGTAAGTATTGAGAAAAAGACTACGTCGAAAGAAAACCAGTTATGCAATTGTGACTTTTAAATTAAATATAGCATAGGTGTATTATAACTTACTTGCTAGCATTGGTTCCTCCGGGTAAGGGTTTCGAAGAATCTAACATCAATGTGTCTGTCGGTGCATCTTGTGAAGATGGAGCGATGAATGAAGAGGTCGGAGCGGTAGGCAGTGAAGTAGCAGGGGAATCGGCGGGACCGAACATCCATTTTTGCGTCGTTGATTTATCTCTGGGTCCAATAGCTACACTCATGTTCCGCCATTTATCCTGCTTGACAAAACCGATAACACATTCAAATCTCCTTTTTAACGTGTTTTTACACTCGATCTCAGAGACGACATACCAATATATTTTCAAAGTAGAATTCATATGTTCGTATGAAACCTAGCTCCTAACTACTGAAGTAACTAGAGAAGTTCATAACCCATCGAACAGTTCTGGAAAGGTGATCAGAATTCATCGTAACACTCATAACGATCAACTTTACGAAGATCCCAGAAGCTCGTAGCATCGGCCCTGATAAACCCCAATTTAGTGTTTCTTCTGAGCCAATAATGCCTACGCCTTCAAATCGTTCTACAAAAATAGGATTTCCGTGTAATAATCTTTTGATAGTACTCATCAACCCCGGTTAAAAAATAATCGCAAAAATACAAGCATTTTATCTATCCATCAGTGGAGTTCTGTATCGAAGCCTTAGAAATATACACATATATATATATACACATGCTCAATTGAATCGGAAAAAAAATCCAGGTATATTGCATTTCTATCTCACCACAATTTTTGAATTAATTTATCTATCCACACGATTAACAGCAACCAAGACATGAACTGTGTAGAATAACACGAGTAAGTAACCGCTGAAAACCATCTACATTTCTGATAATATATAAATGCAAAAAAATCAAACAATAAAGTAAAAAACAAAACCCTAGAAATGAATAATAGACAAAACCTTGAGATCTATGTTGGAGCGAGCAAAGAGGAGGTGGTTGAAGAGAGGATCACTCAGAATAGATTTCCACTTTCCGACGCCGTGTCTAGCTACACCGTCCCGGAGCGCTTTTTCCTCTTCCGGCGTCCATTTCAGCTTCGGATTCCCCATCTCCGAACTCAGAGCTTCCTGGTTTCTTCTTTTATCTTGGTGCCCAAGTTTTTCCGCGTCAAGTGTGTCAAGTGTATTGTACCGGCAAAGCTGACAAGGGCATTATTGACATTTCGTATTAGTAATGGATAATGTAATGGGCCGCAAAAACCAAAGTTTTTTTTGTTTGGGCCATATTTTTATTTTATTTTTTCATTAATAAAAATAGGGCAGATTACGGCCATCTCCCTGAGTTATGGTCAAATTACGAAAAATTTCTTGTTTGGGTAATTACAGCAACCCCTCAACTATGTATTATCTTACGAAAATACTTCTCTAGAGGTAAGTTTAGGGATGTTAAATCGGTAAAATCAAACCGAAATTTCGGTACGCCAACATTTCATACCGTTTAACGAACTGAATACAATTTGGTTCGGTAATTAACCGAATTACATAAATTTTATGTAAAAATATTTAAAAGAAGGGGTGACTGTAATTACCCAAACATATGGAGTTTTTTCGTAATTTGGCCATACTTAGGGGATTGGCCGTAATTTACCCAAAAAAATATAATTATTGATGTATGTTTTCACTTTCAGAAGAGAATATATATTGGTTAATGCAAAATTGTAAAATAAAATTTACATGACGTGAGATTATTACTGATCTTTTAAGTAGCATCTATCTACAGTCTCATCTAGTGGCCACTGGCGAGGCCATGATTGAAAATGAGGGTGGGCTAAAAGATAGCGTCTTTTAAGTACCATCTATCTGCAGTCTAGTGGCCACTGGCGAGGCCATGATTGTGTTACGTGGTAATTTGAGCAAGAAAACATAGTTCGAGAATTAAGAAGAAATCGAGAGATATAAATTAGGAGGAGAATTAGAAGAAGAACTAGAGGAGAATTAAGAGAAGACAAAGGGAGATTAATTGATTCTTAAACTTCATAATACGTAACATTCTAATTACCCTCTTTATAATACTCATAAATAATAATTAAACTACCACCCCACTAACCCCTTAACCACACAAACCCACTAATTTAATTCATGCCCACTAATAAAAAACTACCCACTAACATATAATTTGATTAATTATAATTAACTTAAATAATAATACATATCATTCCCGTCCGCTCAAAATATCCTTGTCCTCAATGATAAAGTCTTGATACGTGTATGGGATCATTTTGCGAATTCAGTTGGTCGGGTGATCCATCAATTATTTGAGAGAGGTGCTTGAACTCTTCGTGGTAAATGGCATCAATGAGTGTTTGTTTCATGAAACGAGTGAGGGCTTCGGAAGGATTGTCAAATTCGGTAGCCCTAAAATGGTAGAGCAACGCCATAGTAAAATCTTCCCCGGCCGACGAGCCCTTGAACCCAATTAACCAGCGATTCCGTTCCAAAGTGAGTCCTTCCAAACGAAATGAATCGAGGTGCACCATCTGATCTTGGGCAATACTTTGAAATTCAAAATATTTTTTGGCTTGAAAATTCCGTTCCGTTGCGTTTTCCGTGGGGACTTTTGGAATTTGTTGTTTGAGGTTTGTATTTGGGACAAGGTTTGGAGTTGTGCGTGTCGCGGCTATGGTTGTGTTTTGCTTGATTGGCTGTAATGTTTCTCCCACAACAATTGGGTTGACATCATTTTTGGGTTTGGAAGAGGCCCTTAGAGCTCGAAGCTCGTTGAGGACAACTTGGAGGGTGTTGTGTATTTGGTCGAGATTGGATTCCTGTCGTGCTAGAATTTCTCTAACCCCGGTACGAAATTCAGCCTCTGAATTGTTACGTGCCTCCATGGAACGTAACCTGGCTATGATACCATTGTTACGTGGTAATTTGAGCAAGAAAACATAGTTCGAGAATTAAGAAGAAATCGAGAGATATAAATTATGAGGAGAATTAGAAGAAGAACTAGAGAGGAGAATTAAGAGAAGACAAAGGGAGATTAATTGATTCTTAAACTTCATAATACGTAACATTCTAATTACCCTCTTTATAATACTCATAAATAATAATTAAACTACCACCCCACTAACCCCTTAACCACACGAACCCACTAATTTAATTCATGCCCGCTAATAAAAAACTACCCACTAACATATAATTTGATTAATTATAATTAACTTAATTATAATTAACTTAAATAATAATACATATCAGATTGAAAACGAGGGTGGGCTAAAAGATAGCGGGAGTTCAGTACCCCGATTTTTTGTTTACGTGTATTAACATAAAAAAAAATAAGTAAATGTCTTATTTGCGATAACAAGTATATGAGGTTAGGTGAAAGAGCTACAAAGATCGATCTTTGTCATTGTTGGAGATGTTTTTCCTTTTCCGCCCCGAAAAGTGGAAATCACACTCAATCGAGCTCTCACGCCTCTTCCTGCTTTCGTCTTTCATCTATCTCTCCAATAATTTATGTATTACCGTTGCATGTTAGGCTTTCCTTTGATCCACGTGACGAATCAACATTAGAGTTGCCCCTGAAATCCCCATTGACCTTGTCAGAACTTTCTTCACCATTGTCTCGTCCACATGGTTTTGTGTTGTCCGAAGATCCCATGTCCTTTTTAACTCCCCTATCGAATTCACTCTCATTTGGTACGTAATCCTCTTCATCTTCATCTCCATATTCAAAACCATCGATACTTGTTGCTTCACACGTGATAAATTCCTTGGAGCATCTAACGCAATGAAAACTTGTATTCAAATATCTTAGAGCGCCCTTGTATATTTTCCGGCAAAACAGGCACCTTGTCCAGAAACTCCTCTTGGGCTCTGGTTCACGTTTCTCATGATCGTTGTAAAAATTCTTCTGGCGAGTTGCCATCCCTCTGAACTTCTAAATATAACGTTCGTAATATCCCTCATGATCATGTATCCACCCAATTTGTCATTTATGTTTAATTTTTCATTAATATTCATTTTTCCTTTATTCTAAAAATAAAAAAAGTCATAATCAAACTCTTAACCTTAAGGGTTGGTTAACGGTCTTGTACTTTTGAATTGTGAACCCCGATCGATATGACTCGTGAACCGTTGGTTCACGACAATGATGATGTCTCCATCCAAAAATTTTCATTAATATTCCTTTGTTCTTTGTTCAAAAAATAAAAAAAATATAATAAATAATCAAAATTAAATGAGACAACTCGAAATGAAAGTAATCACAAGAACGAAAAAGTTCTAATTAAAAAGAAAAAAAAATCACTAACTACAAAGTTACGACGATGATAAATAAATACTGGAATAACCGAAGAAGAAATATATATTGTAAAGTAAATATTATAGCTTATGCATATGAATATTAAATAAAATCACATTCTACTATTTTAAAATATACATAAATTAATACAGACGTGCAACGCAGGTCACACCTTTCTAGTAATGCATAAATGTGCGCATAAGACTACTTTTCATTTTATTTTTATACAAGAGAAAATCAATTAATAATGTGAGGTTCAAACATTGTAGGTTGTTGTCGTTACCGACACTCCCATAGATGAGGCTATTAAAATTAACGACTATTGTTGTGAGCAGAATTTTCCGATTACTTTCATAAAAACACAAATTAGGGGACCGTCTGGGAGTCTATTCATAGATATTGGTCGAAATATGAAAACGTTTTAGGTGAATGATCGAGACGAGCACAAGTTGGAGCGGTTTAAGTTCAAAACAGATGACTTAGTTGTGTTCCATGAAATGACTGGAATTTCGGCGTTAAACAATGGGAAAACCGAGAACAATATCAAGCACATATAATCCTTCCTCATTCACCGTGGAAGAGGATCCGTCTAATCACCCTGTGCATGGGTGCGAGTGTAATGTGAAGAAAGTAAGAGAAAAAGAGATCAACTTCAAGCCACTGCGAGAGGCATGGGTGCGAGGATATACTTTACATTGCTCAACGTTGTTTGTAGTTTGTACTACCGCAAGGCATTCATAGAATCAGAAAGATTGGGTTATGAGTGCAACACTCAGCCCGTGATCCCTCACAAAACTATCAATTATGGTGTTGCATCACTGGCTGGATTAGCAAAACATAAATCTCTGCGCACCTTGTATCTTTTCCCTTCCAAGATCGAGCATTGCCTGAAATGGGCAAAATCAGAATTTGATATTTTGTTTGAGATGATACCACGGGAGGTCAATGAATATATAAGTAACCCAAGTGGATATATCTCGAATAGAAAGAATCGTGCACATGCCCGAGAAATTTTGTTCTTACATGCCTTGAAGAATCGTGCACATGCCCGAGAAATTTTGTTCTTACATGCCTTGAAGACAGATATGACACGCGCACATTTGATGACTGCCTGACCTGGGCACGCTTTAAGTATATACAAACACCTCTATTCTATTGTTCCCTTCTTTCTTTTTTGGAATACAAACAAATTAATTAATGTTCAAAAAGTTGCTAACTGTGTAATATCGTGGAACCAGGTTTGAGGTCTATTTCGTCTACCAGATCAAGCTATTGACATCCATATATACTGAAGATGCCGTTGATGTTGATCGAGGGACTCGAATGTGGTCTAAAGAGCATCCTCCTCCACACCCTCTCCAGTTCTCTGCTGATGACGAAACTCACATAGAGTTCATCGAAGCGACTGCTATTCTAAGAGCCGAGGCCTTTGGCATTTCGATTGCAGACCGAGTCTGGGAGGGCCCCAACCTGCTACCTACTGATCAAGTGGTAACAAATGTGAGAGAAGATGAAAGTAGTGTTGATGACTTGAATGGTTGTTGACATACGCAGGATGACGAGATTAACTATCATATGCAAATGATTGTTGGTTTCACCAATTTGATGGCGGAGGCTTATGGAATTCGTCGAGTTGATAAGATTTGGTTGAAGTCTAAGCTAGGGGAAACTGTCCCTAGTACACTCTATAACAGTCCTTCATGATGACATGCGCTTATATTCTTGTAATCTACCTCATTACATTCCTAATTGGGTCTAAAATCGAACCTAATACCCCAATTATCGCTTGTTACTAAGTTCGTTTGAGCTTGGTTTGGTTTGTGTTCGCCTCAACTTCGATTGCTTGTCAAACACAAGTTTGATACAAATTTTAACCACCACATGTTCGACTTGAATCGATACCTTTACACCCCTAATTACTATCTCTTAATTTGAAGCATTCCATTGGCCACCATCAATACTCTGTTTTAGTTCCACTCCCCTTAAAATACCCATCTCCAAATCACTCTTTTACCAGTAAAACTCAAAACATTGTAAAATGCTTATATATATATATATATATATATATATATATATATATATATATATATCCTTTCAAAACAATACCCAGGGCAAACTAAATGGAACAGGTTACACAAAGTACAAAATTATAAGTAGAAAAAAATGGTTTTCTTATACGAATAGGGCGCATCCACTTTACTTGTATGTTTTAATAAAGAAGGGATTTCAATGAGCTTTTGATTGCTCTGTCAAATATAACTGTAGGCTCCTGCAAAGACAATTACTCGAATGGAACGAACATATACAGAGGTGGATCGACAAACTAATTTTGCAAAACACTTAAATCTTTATCCATTAAAAAAAGATTCATATCAACATGTGTATGTGAAGTCAACAACTCCATATAATATCAATGCTTCTCAACATATTCGGAGCGAGCCCCATGGAAGTAGCAAGACCAGAAGCTAGAGAAGCAGAATTAAGACAACGATCAACAATAAAACCGAGCATGCCATAGCCTGCAAATTAAAGCTCGATTTCAGATAATTCTCAAGAATCACTCAACATTAAAAAAAAAAAAAAATAACAAAATACTCACAGCAATTGCAGATGCAGCAAGTCCAGCTCGTTCCCTAGGATCCTTGCGGTAATAATTTCCAAAATACAAGAATGTAGCATAATACCACATCAGCGGGAACAAGAAACCTAATAGAAACCTGAATTGCAGTATGATTTTATTTAGAAAAGAAAACAAGGAAAATGAAGCAGATAATATCATATCTCGGACTATACTTACGAGAACCATCCAATTCCACAGCCAAAGCAAGGAAGAGGTTTGTCATATATCCCTAGTTGTGAGTCGTCTTCATTTCTAATCAAAGTATACTTGCCCTTTTCCCTGTCTCCAGAATCCGTTGCTTGTCCTATGAGGAGACAAAAAATTATATTTTACTAAATAGATATAAAATAAATCATGATGTCTTCATAGTGTTCATATAACAGAGAGAATAAAAGGCTTTATATCAGCATGTGGAAATAGGTTGCAGCTAAACTAATTCAACATGTGCATGTTTTAGATAAGGGCCTTAATCTTCGGTAAAAGAGAAAATGACCCATATACCCTTTCTTTATTATGCATCACAAAAAATCCAAAGATAACGACGACTACTACCTTTAAACATGGAATAATATCGAGATGAAGGCCTCAAAAGATCAAGATGCTTATCTGAAACTGATCTCACCAATTCAAGAGCATTTCTACCCTCTCCCTCTTCAATAGTAGCATCTGTAACACCAACAAGTCCCAATTTATAGCATTAGGAGGCGCTTATTAGTCTCTCGATTTTTTATTTTTTTCGTTAATCCCTACTCAATAACAATGTCTTAAAGAAAGCTAAGTTAGTATGTCAGAACATAGGTGACTTTCCAGCTGGAGTTTCTGTAGCACCAAGGAGTTGAAGCTGGATATCTTACGAATATTCTTAAGCAATGCGCGCAGAGAATATATGGCAAACACTTCCACCACATATTCGTCTCTAACCAAGTTTCGATTGCTGACAGAATTAAACAAATTTGGGTAGATTGTCCAAAGAAAAAAAAGATTGACCGATGTGAAAACCAGAGTTCGACAAAGCCAGAAGGTATTTCTAGGTTTCGTCAACATCCTTCTTGTTTGCTCGGAGAATGTGAGTAGACACGACCAAATATATTATCTAGGAAATCAAACTTCGCTGCAATCATGTTCCTTTTCTTAATGATTTACCATACCAATGCCACGGAAAAAGAAAACGACTCGCATAAACAGGCACATAGCAGACCGACGTATGGATATCGTAAATCAGTTAAATGCTAGAAAGACTACACCCGAGTTATGAAAAATGTACTTCATAAACAAATTGAAAAAAAGCTAAAAAAAAGGATAATTATTACTCTGATCCATGGGCAATCCTCCGGAGGTTATTTACGATGTTATAATCCTCCTTCCAGAATGACGTCCGAGTACCCCTTTAACAAATGTAAGAAAACACGACTATCAGCATACGTCTTTCTTTTTTATCACATTCTAGAAAGATGGAACGAAAATACTTGACTAGAAACAAGAAGATAAAATGCACTTTGATGAAAAACAAAGATCGTAATAATTCGACCGAGCAAAGCCGTAAAGCAGCTAAGAAATATAACATAGCCATTAAATGTTCAAGAGTGACCTAAACCACATAATCCACAAATAGATTAAAATTGCTAATACCGTTAGTGCCCCAATCCTTTACATTCAACTCTACATACTGAATTCGATCATTACGATTTCTGCTTTGTATCACATGGAAATCAATAGAGCTACAACTACTGCGATCGTCTCCCCAATTCAACACAGTTCAATAAAATACCCAACCAAATCAAATTTCATCAATCCCATACAACAAACAAAAGAAAACCCTAATTTTCCCTTTCGCCCCCAATCAATCCATCACCTAATTCCTTACAGAAACCCAATTTCTCCAAGGCATAATCAACAAACGAAACTCCTCCTTACAGAGAACATGATATACAAAGGAAAAAGGAAGAAGAAATGATAAACAATTAATTACCAATAATTAATCCAAGGAACACAGCATAATCAACGCAACAAATAATTCGTGGGAAACAAAGAACAATTAAAATTGAAACTAACCTGTGAGGAAAGAAAACTCGGGAAGTAAATGATTATCTTGGAGATTTCTGAGTAATCTTATCAGAACACGAAAAAAAAAGAGGAGAAGTGACGATCAATGTGTATCTATCTGTATGTATATATGTAATGTAATTTAAAAGAGAAGCAAACGCTGCTTTCAAACAATGAATTATATTCCACCCAACTCCACACTCTAGACTACGTCGGTTGACTCTTCTCCTCCTCCCTATTTTATTTTTTCCTTTTTTTTTTTCATTTTCCTCTCTATCTTTTTTTTAATTATTATTTACATTCTTGATATTTTCTTAATTACCAAAATACCCTCAATGTTTGTTTTTGTCTTTCCTCGAGTTCTTATGGTGTGATTTCTCACTATATGTTTTTTTTATTTTAGGGAGTATTTCGCGAAAAAATACTAATTCTACACCAACATACGTGATATTTCTCTATGTTGCATGTTAAAGTTAAAAATTATCATTAGAGGGGTAACGATAATACAGAGAAATTGTGAACATGTTATTTAAGAAGACGAAAGATTTCGTATAGAGGTACTCACCCTAAGGTAATTTTTGTACTTTAAAAAATAGCATAAAGAAATGACACGTCTGCATGGTAGAATCGACATTTCTTGTAAAATATTCCACTGACACAAAAATGATTCCGTGAAAAATCATCTCGTAAGGGAATCAATGTAAGACATAAACAAACATTAGGAGGATTTTGATAATTACGGATAGATGAGGTGTTTTTCATAATTTAACATATGTTGAACAGGGGTTTCGGCTGGTATTTAGAGTTTGGCCCTTCTATTTCACTTCGCTTAAATCTTTTGACTTATTTCTTGTGATTAATTTACATTTAGATTTAACCTTCTATCTATTATAAGTTGTGTCCACGTATAACTTTGATATAAATAAAGAAAAGAGATCACTTACCAAAAAACTATACTGATATAACAACAATTCATCTTTTACAAGTCTCTCCAGTGAAAAAACACATTGATATTTAAAATTATGCATATCGCAATCCGTGCTTTTACCGTAAATATTGATCAACAGTTAACCTCTCGATCAATAACTTAAAGTATAATTAAGCTTTCAAAGAAGGAACTTAGTAAAAGGATTTTGGTCCACAAGATTTGCTAATTGCATTTGATAAATTATTATGCAAAAACTTAGTAATTTACTATTTTAAATATATAATTACAATTTGATCCAATTTTTTGGACTTTTATCTTATTATTCCATTCCAAGAACCAATCAAACATTAGCATATTTTTATTTTATTGCCGGCCATAATAATGTTGTCTCTTTTATTTAATATAATAAGTTAATAATAGTGTCCTTAATTTTTGTGTGTGATATATACAATATGTAAATTTAATTATAGAAAAATATATGGGAAAAATCGAGTCTCTAGTTAGCATGGGTTAATAGATCCTAACTCGGGCTCGGCCCATGTCAGACGGTTATAACTCCTTCCAGCCCAATATACCTAGAAAAGCCCATGTTTGGCCCAGATGCCAAACCGGGGTTAATATTCAATTTTTTTTTTTTTTTTTTTTTTTTTTAAATGAAAATGAAGATTGAAGATGCTGCAACACATTTTAAAAAAAAGTAAAATTCTTGTAAGTAAAATTTTCAATTATAGATTCTTTCTAAAAGTTATGTAATTTTGTAAACATGGTAGAAAATTAACTTTGAACACTTGATTCGTCCGCCGAACATGATTGATGAGGTGCATGTAGGGAGCACGTCGCCTTGCCGTTTCAATTAACTAGCCGCACGTCGTTTGGTAATCCGGCCCCATCCACATCATCATCCTAACCAATCATTTTAGGTGAGGCTAGTCAGTATAGTGCTATGATCGTTTCCAATCTTCTAGTTTACGCGGACATCGCACCATTAAGTAGTAGTGTCAGGTGCATTAAATGCCACTGGCCGGTTGTCAATTGCGCCTGTCACAACGCCAAACTTCGAGCTCTTGAGACGGTCATTCAAGTGCATTACACCCGATTACTAGTTGATACATTTTTTCATCGAGGCTCACTGGGCTAAGGTGCTTGCCTTGCCGGCGCCAACGGCTTTATCGGGCAAACATGGTTTGGGCTTTTCGGAAGGACTTTAAGTCTAGATCAACACCTTATTTATAAATTGATATTCTTAATTTTCAACTTATTTTTATAAATTATCTCAAATATAACCTTATAAATTAACTTTAGTAAATAATAATTATAACATAAATGCTAATGCAAAGTTATGTTTTAATTAAATGAACCCTTCCCAAAAATCTTACAAACACCAATTTAGCTTTAGTCAATTTTACAAAAGAAAATTAAGGAAAAACAATTATAAAACCAAAACACAAAACGAGATTAATTAACTGTTAAACCTAACTCCAAAACCCTCTAAACAACCATCAAAGATCACATTTTTCTTGAATAATTCATTCTACTCAAAAGCTTTATGAATCCGCCTTCTCTTTTCCGACAACCTGCGAACCCGTCAACCTAGCCATGGCGACGAAGGACATTCCACCGAGAACATTATTCAAGCACCTCAGAACAACCACGGACGTCTTGAAAAAATTAGGCGACAAACCCTTGGCCAGCAGAAACTCGATTCCGTTCAATGTCTGGTACCTGAAATTGCTGCTCAGTCCGAGCTGAACCGCCCACGTGGCGGCGTTCAGAATCGTCGGCGGGGGCTTGTTCGGCGTCTCGAAATTGGGGTCCATCTTCTTCCTCGTCTTGATCAGCCCGTTCGATATGGCGGTTCCCACGAATCCGGCCGCGAACCCGGCGGCGCCGAACAGGGCGCCTTTGTAGACGAAGGTGCCGAGCCGGTTCAGCAGGGTGTACGGACCGGGTTCGAACATGTAGCTCGTGGGGCAATTGGCGAAGATGGCGGGTAGGGTTTGGGCCGAGGAGGATAGGGTTGGGGCCAGTATGTACATGAGCAGGAAATTCAAAATCGAGCCGACGACGAGGGTGGAGAAGACGAAATCGAGCTCGTCGAGGCCGAAATTGGCGCGGGAAGCCATGTCTCCGACGAGACAAGCGCTCACGCCGACGATCTCTTCCATCAGAACCTTGAACGGAAATTGTGGATCCGCCGCAACCCTAGCCCTCCACCCGTTTAATAGAGCTCCGATGGGTCCAAAACCACTGCCTCCACCGCTTCTTTCGGAGTCCTCTCCTCCTCCACCGCCTCCGCCGCCGCCACCGTTACTTCGTCCAATGCCGCCGCTATCTCCGCCGGCGGCGGCGGCGCAGGGTGTGTGAGATTTGGTTTTACTGCATTGTAATGAAATCGTGTTGGAGATAGTAGAATTGCCCAATCTGGTGGTGGAGAGAGGGGAGGTATTGATAAGGAAATAGTGACCGGAAAGAGGAGAGCAGCAAAGCTGAGCCATTGTCGCCATTTTTTCTCTGGCTGAGATTACCAAAAGCAGAGGTAATCTGTTGTTGTATTCAGAGTAATTGCCACTTTGCACCCTTGAAATTAGGTCTATTTAATATTTTGCACCGTGTAAACAAAATAAATTGCATTTTTGGGCCTTGTAATTTCAGTTATATCAAGTGGACCCCACCCCCGGTCACTTTCCTTTCGTAACGTGCTGCGAAAAGGGAAAAAGACAATCTTATCCCTAAGAATTAAAAAGATATTATTGAGTTATTATCATAATCTAATCAAATACAAATAATATTGCCAATTGCAAAGATATTTTCTCATTGGAATATGCCACGAGTTCAAAGATGCCTAGATATTTTATAAAATATAAAAATAGAGTTGGATATTTATGGGCTCAAAAGAGATTCCACCGGGGTTTATCAAATAAATTTGAGTAAATAACAACCACCTCCTTGAGGTAAAGTGTAATTCCAAAAAAACCCTTTTATGTGTGAAATTACATCCACCCCTGAAATTTGTAAATTTCTTGCATTCACCTTCTACAAAAGGATGTTAACGTAATACATTTACAAATTCAAGGGTATGGATGGAATTATTGAAAAATGAGGGCTTGTTTTATAAATATACATTAATTCAAGGGGGCCAATAAATTTTGATTGAATTGTCAATTTTAGCAATTTTTGTCATTGAAATATAAATATTTATTTTCTGGTCCCCCTTGCAAAATCAAAAATTATTTGTAGACTGTGTGGGACCAATGAGTGACCGACACAGCTCACAATATCGGTGAAGATTCCGGCGAAATGAAGTCGGCGAAGAACCCTAGAATCAGTGGAGGCCACCACCACTAAAGTATAATAAGATTGCGAATAGTTAAATAAAGATTCCCTATCAAAGGCACCCAATGTCAGCCGTCAGCTCTCTCTCTCTAGAATGGGACACGTTTTTGTCCCACTACAATTTCCCCTCTTCTAATACCCCATCCCCCCACCAACTACTGCACTCTTCTTCTTCTTCAATTATCAAGTGATTTGAATCTCTGAATATGGGCGATTCTACCGGAGCTTTGGAAAATGGCGATTCCGATCATACTAGCTCCGACGTGTTGGATATTTACCCTCTCAGCTGTTACTACTTCGGCTCCAAAGAATCCGTCTCCTTGAAGAACGAATCTGATGCCGATCGTCTTCTACGGTTGACAGCTAGGTATGCGGTGATTTTTTTTTTAATTTTTTTTTTCATGTTTAAAGTATAATTTGTGTTGTTCGTTGAGTATTTTTATTTAGCCCTAATTTTCGTGAGTTGTTGTTTTTTGGGGGTTTCAGTTACGAAGCCCATGGCATGAGGAACTGCGTAGCTGCGGTGATTGTGGTGAGCTTTTTTTCCCTTTCCTTTATTCACTGATTGATTAATTAGGATGTTGATCTGGATTTATCAGATTTTTCCAGTACAGTTCTGATTAATTAGGTTTTGAATATGGATTTAGAGATAGTTGCTATTAGCAGATGCTTATGGAGTTACTGGTTTACTGAAATTATTGCGTAATCTGAATGCTAACTATAAGCATGATCGGTCTTGTCTTTGCTTTTAGTTACTAATAATGTGAGTTTACCGTATGCAATTCTTGCACGTTTGAGATTGTTTCTGTAATTTGAGCCCGAAACCAACCTTTTACAGGTAGAATTGTTCAAACATCCCCATCTTTTAGTGCTGCAAGTTCAGAACTCCTTTTATACACTTCCAGGTGGTCGGTTAAGACCGGGCGAATCAGGTAAATGGCATTACGATGGGATCGTACATATTATCTACTTGCATACATACATCGAATTTGATTAGAAAATCCCGGGCAAGATTCTTAAGATTACCTTTTTTTTTTATAAATGTTATGCTTCAGATATTGACTGCTTAAAACGCAAGTTATTGAACAAGTTATCTGCCGGTGAAGATGGCCGTGGCCCAGAATGGGAGGTATATATGTATATATGTATATGTGTGTATAGATACATATATTGTTCGTTCTCAATGTAGCAATGGTGTTTCATTTGTCATTACAATTATTTGAAATCTGGTGTTTCTTGATTATCCAGGTCGGAGATTGTCTTGGCATCTGGTGGAGACCTGATTTCGATGCTCCACTTCACCCGTATTTGCCGCCAAACATAAACAAGCCTAAAGTAATCTCATCTCATATTTGCTATTTTCTTACATTCTTGACAGCTGTCGATAATTTATTGAACCTTGACTGCCATATATTTCGTTTTTTTTTTTCAGGAATGCACTAAGCTCTTTCTCGTCAAGCTGCCACCAAGTAGGCGATTTATTGTACCTAAGAAATTCAGAATCCTTGCTGTTCCATTGTGCGAACTCCACGACAATGAACAGGTTACCTCAACTGGAATTCTTGTGCCAATTATCGGAAGAAAAAAAAACATTGAAACTCTTAAATCGTTTCAAAATGACGACTTCACGAAATATTGTGATTAAATTGCACTTTACCTATAATTTTAATGCTTATTTTACATCCTCGCACATGAGCCTTAACATATACCAATTATTGTGTTTTTGTACAGACTTATGGTCAGACGATATCCGGAGTTCCACAGTTGATGTCGAAATTCTCCTTCAACTTTGTAGAACCCAATGCAGCAAGTATTTGAGCTTTGAATGTGTTACACTGTACTGTATAAGGAGATAATTGGAATACTGCTATTATTATTATTATAGACTTTATATATATATATATATATATATATATATATATAAGGGTTGCTGTTGTCATATTGAGTGTTGTTCTTCACATATAATTGTGGTTTTATAATGTTGTATTAGGATATATACTATGGACTTCCTAGTTTTCTCTTAATATAAATTCATAGTATTATTTTATTCTGAGCTTACCAATATGTAAATTGCATACCAATAATTGTACAGCAGCAGGAGAAAAATACTTGGTGATAAATTTCATTGTTGCAAAGGTTAGTTTGCAATTTTGGTTAATTTGTAAATTAATAAATCTAACTATTTATTTATTTATCAAATAAGTATAATTTCTTTAATCTATCTATAAGATTTACTGTCACAGTTAATTTTGTGCAACTTGTAGGCCGTAATCATTTGAGTTCTAAGATATTGCTAGGGACTCGGGTTGGTGAGACTTTAAATTTTAGGTCAAAGTCAAACAATTAATTGCTTTGGCCACATCACAACAGCTAAAAGTAATTTGTGAAAATTTAGAAATTAGGGGTAAATTACCAATTTACTCCACCCCTAATTATAACCACCCAACCTTAACTATGAATCTTCTTACACATCCATTTAGAATATTGTCTAGTTTGTACTCGTTTTATCCTATTCAAGCTCCACATTTTAAAACAAAATAATCATAAGATGCGTCTTTTGGCTTGCAAATATCAGATTATAGTACATTAGAAACTACATGTCTGCACAAAACGAGTACAAACTATAAAATATTCCACAAAACATAGAATATTATTTCGAAATTTAACACTATAAGAGTCGGAGTGTAAATAGATTCATACTTGAGGGATCTGGTGGTAACTTGTAATTAACCAAACGAGGGTTATTTTCGTAATTTATCAGTTGAAGTGAACGGTCTTGGTACCTTCCAAAGTCGTCTTCTTCTTTTCTTCTATGGTCTTTTTCTCTCACTAATTAAATCATCATCTCTCTCCCTCTCTCCTCTTTTCTCCATTAATAAAATAATTGTAAAATCAAGTGTGCGCGGATTGGTATTTTACCTAACCTGAAATTTCTGTGTTTTTTTTATTGGCATCTGACAATAAGAAACGTTGTTTCATCTTGCCCAGAAACCCAAGCAAAGGAAACAAACAGTACAGAATCCGAGAAGAAAGTGAAAATGAAGAAAGGTTCCTTAGCACCTAACCTCAAGCTCTCTCTCCCTCCACCCGACGACATCTCTAAATTCCTGTAATTCCTCTTTTTTTTTTTTTTTTTTTTTTTTCTTTTTCCGCCGTTTATTTAAATTGTGATTTGGATCTTTAATTAATATTGTGTGTGTGTGTGTGTGTGTGTGTGTGTGCAGGACTGGTTCGGGTACATTTAAGGATGGTGATCTCTTGGTTAACAGGGATGGAGTTCGGATCGTCTCCCAAGCTGAAACCGAAGCTGTATGAGTTTTATTTATTAATTAATTAATTTACCTATTTTCGTGTGTCGATTTTTATGTGTTCGTGTGGGTTTTTCGATGCGATTTTATCACTGTTGAGCCTTTATGATTTTTATCTGTTTGCATTGTTGTTTCATGTTTGTGTGTTTGAGATGCAATTTTTGAAGTGTTGTTCTTAGTTTCGAGTTCGACGATTCGGCAAACAAAACTGCGTTTATTAGGGCTTATTAAGTAGTAGCATTTTAATTTGATGATATGCTCGTTTCACCTTTCAGCCGGCGTTAATACAGCCATCGGATAACCAGTTGAGCTTAGCCGACTTCGATGCAGTTCAAGTTATCGGCAAAGGAAACGGAGGTATTGTCCGCTTGGTTCAACACAAATGGACCGGTCAATTCTTCGCTCTTAAGGTATTTCAGAAAAAACGACTTTTCGACTTTTACAGCAGAAGCTTTTTTAGCCAAACAGATTCTTATTGAACTTTTTACATTTATTATTTTCTCTCGACTTTGTCGTAGGTTATTCAAATGAACATAGAAGAATCCGCTCGTAAGAACATAGCCCAAGAGCTCAAAATTAACCAGTCTTCTCAATGCCCCTATGTAGTTGTTTGCTATCAATCTTTTTACGATAACGGTGCAATCTCGATAATACTCGAGTATATGGATGGTGGCTCTCTCGACGATTTCTTGAAGAAAGTCAATATAATTCCCGAACAATATCTCGCTGCAGTTTGTAAACAGGTGCTACATTATATATTCAAAATCTCGATTATGCCATTTATTAGGTACTCAAATATTTCGCAAGTAGTAATTATATTAAAAGTCTCGATTTATGCCGTTTATTAGGTACTCAAAGGGCTATGGTATCTTCATCACGAAAAACACATTATCCACAGAGACTTAAAGCCTTCGAATTTACTAATAAACCACAGAGGTGAAGTGAAAATCACCGACTTTGGCGTTAGTGCAATACTTGCCAGCACATCTGGTTTAGCTAATACATTTGTCGGCACATACAACTATATGTCTGTGAGTATTACACGTCTTATTATTATTACCCGTATTTTCGTGCTAATATCTTTGTCAGAATTAAACTAATTGTATTTTGTATATATTTTTCTTTTTTGTGCGTTTTTTAGCCAGAGAGAATACTTGGAGGTAACTATGGTTACAAGAGTGATATATGGAGCCTTGGTTTGGTTTTTCTCGAGTGCGCGACAGGTCAATTTCCTTACACCGCACCACAGCCAGAGGGGTGGGTTAATGTATACGAGCTGATGGAGGCCATTGTTGATCAACCTGCACCTCGTGCACCGTCCGATCAGTTCTCACCCGAGTTTTGTTCGTTTATTTCTGCTTGGTAATAAGATATATTCTTCTGTTGGTATTTTCTTATTTATCGATTAATTCGTCAGCAGTACATGACCTTGTGTAATTGGATTTCTTTTTCTTTTATCAGTGTGCAGAAGGATCCCAAAGATCGACCTTCAGCCAACGAACTTATGGTACTTTTTCGTACTTTAATATTTGAATTCAGTATAATAGATAACTCCGGGTAATTAATCTGATGTATTATTTATGAAAATTCAGGCGCACCCTTTCATCACAAAGTACGACAATTGTGAAGTCGATCTTGCGTTGTACTTCACCGGTTCGGGGCCTTCACTAGCCACACTTTAATCAAGGTTCAATATATTGACCATAGTCGAAAATTTATCGTTTTTATATTAACTAACCACATCCTACCTTAATCATGTCGTAAATTATCCTTGTGCATTTTCTTTCGTTATTCGAATATCCAAATATGTCGTATACATTACGATTGTGCTTATCTTTTTTTTTTCCTTAATTTGCAGGTACGAGAAATGTTCATACCGGTTTTCGTTCTTCGCTGCTGTCAATCGACGAGCCAGCCACTTATTTGCTTGTCTTTTTTTTTTCTTTTTTGAATTTTGTCTGGGTTTAGAGAGTTGATTTCAGTGTGTGGTTTATGTTATATCCACTTAAATGTGTGGGTTAAAGACTTATCAATCTTTGCCTTTTCATGGTGCTTTGATTCTATTATTTTAGGCTTCGTTTAATTAGACAGATAAGTTATTAATTAATTAAATAATTACAATTTAAATAAAGGGTAAAATATGGATTACCCCATCAGGTAAGACCCAAATAACTTAGAAACCCCTTTGGTATTGGTAATTACAAATATCGCCCTAAAACTAACAATCCATTATAAATGCTAAAGGAATTAATGAATTGTCTAAATTACCCATATATTACGAGTATCAGGTAAGATAAAATGTTACATCTATCCTCCCGTGGGTATATCACATTTACCTTTGGGGTAGATCTGAAAATTCACATTGAATATTCCACGGAATCTTCAAGATTCCGTTAGTCATTGCTTCATAAGGGTATACCTGTTAGACGTAGCAATAGTTCAGGGTATTTGTAATTATCGATACCACATGAGTGTGTAAGTTATTTGGTCATACCTCAGGGGTTCCTCGTAATTTACCCATAAATAAATGTTGGATTAGCCGAAAAAATCTCATCATACTAATCGCATTACAGCCAAACGAATCCTTAAACGAAAAATCGAGCTAATTTCCGAACAACCAATTAAATAAATGTTTTAATATCCATAACACCAAATAACCCTACATGTTAAAACAAATATAAACCTGAATAAGAGCAGTTAACACTTAGTTTTTTTTTTTTTTTTTCAGGTCTTGTTTTTGAACTTCCTTTGAGCTTTCAAATCTACAACTATGACAGAAATATTATCTATGCTTCCCCTTTGGAAAGCAAGCTTGGAGAGATAATCAGCCGCAGCTTGTGCGGCTGGATCGATATCCTTACCACGCACCTCCGATTGTGTGGGCCCATTCTTTTTGTGCCATAGTAGAATTCGTCTTCTTGCAAAATCACAAGCCTCTTCGTTTGTCATTACATCCCATAAGCCGTCGCTAGCTAGAATTAGACACTCGTCTTCTTTTGCTCGCGGAACCCACATTATTTCTGGATCCGCGATTACATACGGCCTCAAGTATCTATCGCCTGCATAAAAAAAAATTACGATTATATTAATTGAATCGAAGCTTTTGCGCATGGAAAATAGAAGCTGCGTAATCTTTTGTATACTTAAGGCCTTGTTTGGCTACCGAGATAGGATTAGTCGAGATAGAATTATTCAATATCTTATGAGAATCAGATTGTGCAAGTGGAATATAATAGGGGAAGTCCAATACAGGATTCGGCAAAAATAGATTATCGATCCCAAGTTCACCGTTCTTTACTTTAATTTTTGACAAAAATATTAATTAAATCTTACTTAAAACAATTCTTCCCCAAATATAAACATTCTAACTAAGCAACACATTGCACATAATTACAAAATTTCGAGAGAAATCAAGATTTGACTTACCGATTGACCTCGACACAGCAAGAACACCCGAAACACGATACCCATCCCATTTAATCACCTTTCCACCCGCACCTTCTATCCTTGCACACTCATCTTCTCTATTCGGCTGCAAACAAGGGCGAAAAGGGTATTTTAGTCTCTACACCAATTACTGAAATCCGATTTCCTATGCTTCAGTAAAAAACGGTATAAATATTAAATACTCCATTTTTCGAGACGATAAAAAAAAATCTTGCCTTATGATCCACGGATAAGGGCACAGGCACTTTCCCCCTGTACAGTACTGCTCTTGAATCACCACAATTTGCAACAACGATATGAGTCGAAGAAACAACCGCAACAACAGCTGTGGACCCCACAGATTCGTGGGCGACAGGTGGATTTGGAGCAACGAACCCTCCAACTTCGTTGTCCAATCTACGAAAGCATTTTCGAAATATCTCTAACCACTGTTCCTTCAAGTTATGTTCTACACGCAATTTTTCTTTAGCAATACTAATCTCCTCAGCTAAAGCAAGATGCAGACGCTCTTGGCAATAGTTAGCAACCTAATTAATTTACCGAAAGTTTGTATTGCCACATACATTAAATTCGACGAAAATAAGCTGAGAAAAAATTAAGAAGGAAAAAAAAAACCCGTTTTTAAATGTCTACCTGGCAACCTCCATGTCCGTCATAAACTCCAAAAACATGGGCGGTTAATTCTTGATTGGAATTAAAAACAGGACCTTCACTCAACATCCGAGACGGGATTTTCAAGAATCGTGGTAAAGCTATGGCCGAATCTTCCATTTCCGATCTCCTTCCGCAAATAGAAGTCAACCCCCAGAGAGGTGGGAAATCTTGCTTGTTTATCTTCGTTTCCCTGGAAGCTTCTATAAGGGGGGTCGAAAATGTTCTTTTGGGTTGTTCTCTAACTGCAACAGCCTCACCATCCAAAGAAACGAGATCTTCAGCTATCTCGGAAGTGATAGCTGATATCCAAGACTCAGATTTTTTGTTGCTGAAGATTAGACTTGTTTCACTTTCTTTGGAGTCGTTAAAATTCGACTCTGTTTTTATTACAACAACTCCACTTTGTGGAAAACTAGGACTAGAGTTTCGATTCTCGAGGGTGAGGGGGAGTAAAGGGAGCTTAGTCATAGATGCAAACACGGATTCTTCGCTGATCAAATTTCCGAGCTTGAACGGTAGAGCAATTAGTGGAGAAATTTCATCCATTAAACAATCTCGGAAGTTAGATTTGCGAGTTTGTGCTACTCCCACATTGGGTTTCGGCCTAATAAACATACAGGTTTCGAATAAAATCAGAAAAAAGAGGATTAATTGCGCGTACAAGTATAATGCTAAAGAATCAAAATGACATAAGAGAATATGAATCCGAAAACCTCCACGAAAAAGGGGATCGGAATCGATATCTAATTAGAACCGAAGAAAATACCCATACATCATCACTAAGCATATCTTCTTCTTGATCTCGATTATTATATTCTTGCTTATCTAAACCTCTATCGAAAATTCTCAAGCATCACCTAATAGGGACAATGGGACATGTAATCACCTCACTAGATTTCATGTGGTTTTCGGTAACAAAAACCAAGAAAACACACACACGCACACACAAAATGGAGCAATAAAAAACCAATCTTGAATTCGAAAAAAAATGAAATTGCTTTTTCACAATTAAAATTAGAAACCCTAAAAATACAAACAACAAAACCTCAATATACCTCTCAACATAAAAAAGATCCTTCTTTTACTCTCCCACAGAAACCCAATTCCACAATTCAAAAATATATAGTGAAACATCTATCATTCTTGAAATAATAACATTACACATGGGAATATCTACACACACACACAAATATCCTTATAAAAAAGAAAAAGAAAAGGAGATTGCTTGAGCAGATAAGAATATGCTAAAAGAAAGAACAGTCCTGCATGAATGAATGAACAATCAGCTCAATTAAACAAAGCAAAGATAAGTTGCTTACCGTCTCGAAACAGCGATTGTTAGTGACAACTGTTTGCCTAAAAAGAAATAATAATGGTACTTCCTTCCTCCCCTTCTCTCTCTCTCTCTCTCTCTCTCTCTCTCTCTCTCTCTCTCTCTTTATTTTGAGACTCGTGGCGAAGCAAAACACCACTATGTGTCAGCCGAATGAACAATCAGACAGACAAATATTTCTTTGCATATTGTTTTTTTTGTCTTGTGGGACCCATTCGGCAGACGTGTGTTCAACCACGTGTCACCAAACGGTACGTTGAGGTTCCCATTGGGGGTTTCCTTTCGGTGAACTACTCTAATGGGAGGGTGGATTTTTCTTTTTTCTTTTCTTTAATTTTTTAATTTTTTAATTATTAATTTTTGTTTTCAATTCTTGCTGAATATTTTATTACCTTTGAAAATCGAGGGAAGTTGAGCCAATGAGATAGTTACACGTTTGGGGGTTGTTGTTCATTTAGGGTGAGAATATATTCTTTTGAATTGTTGACACTAATTTAATTTATATTTCTTTCTTGAAATTGGTATGCTTTGTTAGTGATGACTCAGATTCATTAATATTCGAATTAATAGATTCAATTCAACTTGAGTTGAAATAACAATATTTTAATTTCATTGTTAGTTATATATACACAGAGTCAACAATCTTTAGAAATTTATTTATCTAGAACTTCGAAATTTCGTGTGATTTTTAAAGAAGATCGGTGTTCGGTTCAAAAGAAGTGCCTAAAAGATCTCGTGACAGATCATCCGCTGTCTGAAACATTATTATTTTTAGTATAAATTACGGCCACCCCTGAACTATGGCCACATTGCGAAAAAAACCCCATTGTTTGAGTAATTACAATCACCCCCTCCTTTAACTCAAGCAATAATAACTGAAACATTGAACCAAGACTACATTTTTTTGACAGGCAAAAGAAGTTTGTTTAATCAAAGCAACAAAAGTTAAACAAAGATCCAACAAAGTAAATCACACATGGCATTGTTTGCCCATAACAAGATATTAGGTTTGCCAATAAATCTCAACTACCTTTTGGTTCATTCATTTCTTGAATCCGCCAACTTCGTTAACTACTGAGATTAAATAAATAAATAAATAATCTCCACAGTAAATTAAGCTAACAATCTGCAATTAAAAGCATTTATCTATAATTAAACAAACACCTTCCTATATATTATATACAGTACAAAGAGGAGGCTGAAATTTGAACTGATTTTCGGATTTTCGGATGTTTAATGAGCGAGTGTATCTGCTGATCCTGTTCGTTGAAGGACTTCCTCTTCATCGGTAGTGAGCGTTGCTGTTGCATAATCGACTACCGAGTCACCTGGAAATTAAATATTTTAGTACTAATAATCCACACAAAAATATTGTATGCATGTATATATGGAATGTATGTATTTTAAGTGAAGGATAAAACTAACTCCGTGTAGAATCAGTTGACAGCCGCTCGGGCGACGAGCTCTTTTTATTGTCTGCACGAGAGTCGAACATTTTAATGTCAGAAAGCAAAATCCAACAAGCAATTTGCTTTCCATATATTCTGTTTTATTTATTTACTTGACAGTTACTATTACTGATTTATTTTCATCTAATTTCATATAATTACCAAGAAAAATAAAAGCAGCTTACTGAAATACTTACTCCGTTTTTTTACAGCCTCGAAGTTTCTGTACGTGTAGCCAACAAAGCTCAAATCTTTAGGATTGCGCAACTGCCATTCAGTAAGAGAAACAAGAACAACAAGTAAGTAATCGAGATGGTTCGAAATTGCACTTTTTCAGTAACAAGTGGAATGCTCTTATTTGCATTACTCTCCGACGTAAATTCGTTCATTTCGATACTAGTGTCGTTTACATGTAAAATGTGCAAAATTATGAATAATAACAGACCTTTCTCCAGACCCCCGAACTGGATTTTGCCGGCGGTGGATCAACCTGTTATTTAGCCACGTAAAACACATCAGATAATATTCCATATACAAACTAAAATGCTGATCAGTATTGAATATTAACACCATGTAAAGAAATGAAGCCTCCATATATAGAGAATAATGCTATGGACAGAAGTAACGCATATATCGTTTGTACTCGTTTATATGAATACCCAAACATTGATCATTTGACTCGTTTATTACTATAAAACAATCATCGGATATAAAACAAATATGCCACGTCGCAGTTATATTCATCTCCTCATAATCAAAATTGATCCACTACAACTTATTTTTTCCTGATAATGGTGGTATATATCCGTTATAGGGTTCAACGATCATTAAAAAATCACCGAGTATTCTAATATAATTAACCTCATAGTACATTCCACACACAAGTGGTCACGGGTTCGACTATGGGTAGGGCAAAGATATAGTACATTATGCATACAAGCGTTCACGGGTGCCACCGTGGATACGGAAAATGTACAAGCTTAAAGAAATTGCTGCCCGTTTATTTAAATTTTCTAATTTCCGTGTATTATATATTTACTTGCCGTGTCAATTGTCAATTCTTGGTCATTAATATTCACGCCGACTCGCACTAATACGGTCCAACGGGAATCTATTAAACTAAATTGGTTATTAAGATTCACTTCCGTTTGCATTTACGGAAGAATTTTGGAAGTTCTTTCTTCATTACTTAAGAGAAACACAAATGGTTGTCCATAGAGGTAACAACCAGTTTGATGCATAATTTCAGAACTCAATCAATGGTTCTATTGAGTTTTTTATTTTATATCATTTCCATCTAAAAACTAAGGCCATGCTTGATTGGCTTGATTAACCCAAGAGAGCATGGCCAAATTTCGAAAATAAGTCGATACCCCTCTAATTGGTAACATTAGTTATTATGCATGGACACATTTCGAAAAATAGAAAATAGTTACGACTTCTAATACATGCTATCAAACATAAACATATATAGAAAATCACTTGTAATACATGAATACATAATCCAGTACAACCATATCCTATGTAATCACTAACAGCTTAAGCTTTTAGATGAAGTGGTCATTCAACACACGTCATAAATTCGAAAAATATAATCGAAAGTCTACCTCGTCATATATCATAAAATTCTGAGTATCGAGATCCCCACAAACGGCCGGTTTATAGGCTGCTTCCATCTCATAAAGTATGTCCCAATTAATATCTTTGAACCATGGATGCGCCTGATAAAGAAATCATTTAATCGAAGGAATAAGTTTATTTCATTCTATAGAATCATGGTAAAAAATAGAAAAAAAAAAAAAAAAAAAAAAAAAACCTTTATTTCGTCTGCTCCATGAGAACCTAGCCTATTTTCAGCATCACAGAGCAACCTACATATCAGGTCCTTTGCTTCGGGGGTTAGCCTTGCTTCAGGTGGAAACTGTAGGTGATTTCTCCAGTGTACAATCTGGCATATATCATACAGTTGATCGCTCGTATCAGAAAAAACACAAACTCCTACGGTATAAGTAGTAAGTAATAAAACACGTATGCGTTGCTATTTAAAGACATTGATATATAGTACACCTTTTTGCATGTTGTTATTGTATCGTCGGAGTAGAATGGGGCATAGCCAACAAGCATTTCATATATGATGGCACCTAGTGACCACCTGCAAACGAAGCATTCATAAAATCAAAGAGTTGACAAGTCGTATTTTTGAGTTTTGTATGTGACAATAATTTTTAAGGCTTATTATCATCATCATCTCATCAGTGAGTAGGATGATGATAAGTTACACAGCTTTAGTATGCAACTTAGTTAATCAAAAAAAACAGAAAAAAAAACCAGCACGTGGACTCCAACATTACAGTCCTTGAGAGCAAGAAACACAGATTCAAATGATTAAAACTAACAATATATCCAGTGCTAAGACGCGCTAACCAGTCACACTCGATGCCATAGCCTTTCTTCAGTAGTACTTCTGGAGCAATGTAATCAGGCGTGCCGACGGTTGAAAATGCCTGTATTGACAACACATAACAAAATGCCAGCTTAGTAAATAGATGTTAATATATATTTGCTTTGCGTGTACTACCAAAAAAATATATCATTTTTACCTGTGTTCTCCTGTTCATTTGCCAACGCTGTCTTTGTTCAAGAGGGTTTTTCCAATGGCTTCCATCTCCCTTATCAGGTAAAACTCCATCTGCATCAACCGATTTCGTTAAGTCATTTTCTGCCAGTGGCTCCTTCCCATTAAGGGGCGATAAACTCGAGCAGTCAAGTGGCTTGCATAGGCCGAAATCAGAAAGCTTCATGTGCCCGTTTCTATCCAACAGAAGATTGTCCGGTTTTATATCCCTGCAAAAAAAAATGAAAAAAAACAATTTACTACCTTCCATGTTTATTCAAACGTGTGCGCGCATATATATAATATATTGGATCAACTGGCCTGTGGATGTAGTTATGCTTGTGGATAGATTCAATAGCTAGAACAGTTTGTGCGATATAAAATCTAGCAACAGTTTCGGTTAAGGTGTCCTCTCTCATGAGCAAAGTCATGACATCACCACCGGGGAGGTACTCCATTACCAGATATAAATACTCTGCGTCTTGGAACGAACAGTGAAGTTTGACAATGTAGTCACTCCCAACTTCAGCCAGCAGATTTCTTTCAGCTTTTACATGTTCAACCTACAACATGATAGATATAAATTAAAGTGTATCTATCTATCTATCTATCTTATCTATCTACACATCAACTGGATCTGACCTGTCCTCTGCTGAGCATTTCCGACTTCTTCAACTTCTTCATCGCGTATATATCGCCGTTTTTTTTCTCTCTACAAAGTCTAACCTGTTACATGGTAACATTCAAGAAAAACAACCAAATATTAGCACATAACTCAAAACACGAGTCCATTAGGCGTATTTAAAGAAATGAAAAGGAGTCAAACCTCTCCGAAGGCTCCTCTGCCGATAATGGTTAAGAGTTCGAAATCATCAACAGAAATCTTGTGCCTCTTGAGTCGCATATACTCCGTCTCTTTGCGCTCCAAATCCTTTATAATATCCATCTGCTCTTCCTCTGGTACACCTGAATTAGCCAGTGTCCTTTCTAGCGATTCTCGCCTGCGATTTTTCCACCAAGAATATTAGATTGTTTAACCTTCATTTATCTAAGCTGTCAGCACTCTATATTTCACTAGGGCAACCAACTCCAACCAGCACATATACACATTAACATATACATACACAGACACAGACACAAATATACAAAATGGGGTATTGCACTCTAAAAATTATTTCTTAAAAATCCAAATTCAATTTAAAAACCTCAAAAAGGGGGAAAATAGAAAATAAACAACCATGGCTGGTTTAATTAATTAAAAAGCAGAAAAGTTGCCGACAAACACACAGCCAATAAAAAAAAACAAAAAATCACTGTATGTATACGTGTATCTATCTATATAGAGTAATTTCGAGGGTTTCCGAAACCGGAAATCGGAAATTGGAAGAGGCGTAAATGAATGATGACATCATGCATGCATGAACATATATAAACATATGTATATATAAATGGATGACCTTTCTCTGCGTTTCTGCATGTCTTTCATGTGGCTTTTGTAATGGTTCTCGATGTAATTTTTGGCAGCAGCCACTCGCTCAAGGGTTAAGCTCGACCCCAATTTCCCCTCCGCCGCCGCCGCCACCTTGCCACCTTCTCCTCATGCCCGGCCGCCTCCTTCACCACCGCCGACACCTTCTCCTCCGCCATGTATTAAATTAATGTGTGGGCGGGCGGTGTGGCTGTATGTATGTATGTATGTATCGGTTTAGTGCGTGTTTGTGCGTGAAAAAGTTTGGGAAGATTTTGGGGAGGGGGGAATGGAGATTGCTACAGAGGAAACACGCAATAATCTGTTGGGTTTGGCTTTTGTGTGTCATGTTAATCTATTAGGGGCAAAAAAGGAAATACACAGTCTGTACTTGCCACGTGGCCGTCAGCTGGGACCCACTGGCTTTGAAATCCCATTGAAAAAGTCGTGAGCGTATGCTTGTTTTCATCCTTTGGTTGGTTTGGTTTTCAGTGTGCTCTTTATTTTTCATTGAATTTTCAGTTTTTTTAATTAATTATTATTAAAAAATGGTAAGAAATTAATAAAAGAAAATTAATTTATTTAAGCTATTGCAAAATAATAATATTGTTAATTTGAAAATGGGATTATAAAAAATATTGACTGGATGGATAACAAGAATTAGATCACATATTAAATTAGGGATGTAATTAATTGGCCAGCTTTTCAATCTTGACAATCACTTTCAGATTTCAGATTTTAAAAAGATGGAAAAAATAGCATAAATCTGTGTGATTTAATCAGAAGCCGGCTCGTGAGATTATAAACAACTAGGAATGGGTGCGGTAGACCAAAATCGAGCTTTCGTCGAGCCGACTCATCACACAGTGAATCTACTCAATTCAATTGCACTATCATACTCCGCATCAAACACCGCATCACAATAACAAAACCACCACCAAGAAACATTCAACAAATACGGTCAGTAGAGAGACGAGGGCGATAAATCATGAATGTATGCACCTGTCTTATTTTCATTCGGACAAATTCAATACATGTTTCGGCACAATGAACACTTATCCTACAAAATTACAGGTCCGAGAAGAGACAAATATATGATGTCTGATATAAGTCCTGCTTCAAGAGGATCAAATCCACTGTCAGCTGAAAAACCAATAAAATAATTCAGTCAAAAAATTAAACGATAAATGTTCTGCATATGTATGCTGAAACCCGTTCTTCCGTAAGCCATCCACCGCAAAGTTGAATGATTCCAAACTCGTGACCACCAAATATATTTCACTTGCTCTCAGCATCGTAAATATCGCTTCTAAACATTTTCATAAGGAAGAACAAAGTAAAGCAAAGACCATTCTCATATACTAATTTTGTACTGTTAACGAATACTCAGACTGGTATTTAAACTCTCGAGGTTTACTGTTGAAACCTCATAAAGTCTGACCACTTCTCTCTATCAAAGTAACTTTCTTCAATGGAGAGGGTAGCAGAAATCTATGTACGAGAAATAATTTGATAGCATGGGCATTGAAAGTTCTTGAAGATATGCTCAAAGCATGTACTCGAAACAACCTACTTGCAAGTACTTATCCCTTACAACGCTAATAATAATTATTTATTCAAGAAGGTGAGAAACACACATGATGTCTAAACAAGTGGAAAAGACTGATTTCGTGCACATGACTAACAAAACTATGAAGATAATTTAGCAAAGAATTGACACAAAACAAAATAGACGATAGAAATTTTGTGCTGATATTGGACGGAGGTCGTTGGAAGGAATTACGGGAATCAAAAAGAAAGGCAAAGGCATTTGGCAAGTAGCTTATGAGCTTGAATTGCCATGACTACATGCTAAACAGATCGTTTCAATTCGGAATCAAGACGAAAGAAAAAGAAACAATTAAATCTTAATCAGAAAGATGTCATTTTGCTGCATTTCTAGAAGAAAACTGAAGCAAAAAATTGTTGGAAAAAAAAAACAAAAAAAACAAGGTAAACCCTTGGGAAAAAAAACCATGACACGGACAATTGAATTTTGATTCTTATGATCAGACAAGATAGCTCCAGTTAATGCAACGGTCTACACGTACATGAACAAAGAACGAAAGAAATGACCACGAATGGACATAACTCCACAACTTCTTTCTTTCCACGTCATCTATTTCCAATTAAATCCGATTTTTTTTCTCAAAAACTAATTTTAAGACCAATAGCAGCAAAGGAAGAAAAAGTTCTTAGGAGTAATATTTTTCTCTAATTTGGCGGTTAATTCAAACTGTCTTCACATTGATCATCGACTATATGACTCGAGTAGAGTTGATACTAATTACTAAATATAAAAATGATTCAGTAAACTCTAAATGGAAGGAATTGGAAAATTTCTACATTAATAGCCTTGTGAATACGATATGCATAACTATGTAATATGCATCATATGAACATAGACGTCAAAATTCGAGATTTTAAACTCCCTACGGTATGATATGCATTACTATCTATCCAGTTGCTACAGATTGAATTAATCGTGCCTACGCATATCAATTGATTTGCAATGTACATTACCTATTCTAGATCAAGTAATTCACACACACACACACACACACACACACACACACACACACACACACACACACACACACACACACATGGAAGAGAAAAGGATACACCAAGTACATTCCATGAGCGAAAGCTCCAGCCAAGACTGCGGTAAATAGTCGATCCCTCAAAACCGGTCGATGCCGGAGCGTAAGCCTAACTGTTGGAAAAATGCAACTATCAACATAATAATACAAAAACGAACACAATTAAGATGAAATTGAAGCGACCAAAACATGATAATTTACATCGTTAAATACTTCATTACTGATTCTTCGAATTACGAAATTATACGAGAAAAAAAAAACTAAAAACAACTCACTGAGAGGGAGGACAGGAGCATAGATTAGAGGAACCAGGAATTTGATCGGAGCACTTTTTTTCCTCCTGATGAACTCTCTTCGGGAAAAAAATTTAATAAAATTGGGAGTCAATTCAATGACGGTAGAAGAGATTTAGAGAGAGAAAGGTCTAGAGAGAGAAATCACTTACTGATTCGACGGATCGAGGGGCGGCGGGGCCATTGAAATCACCGATTAAAGGTTGCTTACGGCGGTGCAAGGGGGAGATGAGACCAGGAAAACGACGGAGGAATTTGAGCCGATTCTGCTTGTTGGGGACGAGGAATCTTAAATGGGTTTAATTAAAAAAAAAAACCTTTATTTGTATTGAGATGCCTCAAGACACCTTTAATTATATTAAGCCCCTTGTAATTTTCAGAGTTTTGTGAATTGACCCACAAATATTATCTTTTGGCTCAAAAAATTAAAGATAGATCTGATAAATAACTATTATGTTTCAGTTTTTAAACAGGGGCGTTATGATTATGTGATTAGTAAGTAGGGACTTTTGTAATTACTGGCTACGTGTCAATTATGTAAATACTTGATGCAGTCTGTGTTTGTATTACAGACTGGAGGAATATTGGATGATCAAAGAGGAAGCACTCGTCTTGGAAGCCAAAGTTGTCGATTTCGCCAAACAAACAGTGGCCGATGTAAATTACGCCAATCGTCACGTGATCCCTATAGCTATCAGCATCGACGTATGCACGGTCCAGCAAGATGGCGAGGCGATTGGTGAGGCCCACGAGAGGGCTATAAGAATCGAAAACTTGGTCTCGATAAGCATGTGGGACCGGAGTTGGATATTGTATAATCCCGATGTTGCGTGTTACAAAGGTTCACGAGTTGAAGATGTTAGAAAAGCTGAGGTTTGCGATATATGTTAGAAATATCCGAGGATCGGGGTTCAATTGTCCGTTATGCCTTGCTGCGATCGCTCTTTTCATTCGACTTGCGTTTCTCAATGGATTTTGGCCAAAACCATGTGTCCTTACTGCAATTCTCCTATAGAGTTGCAAGACGAGTTATATTAATTTTCCTACTCTTTTTTTGTATTATAAGTTATATTTAATTTTATTTAAAAAAACAAATGATTATTTTCTCTTTTTTTTTCTCTCTTTAGCAGCTTAATTTTTGAATTTAGAAGTTTATTTTTCTTGAATTTTTAATGATTGTATGAAAATTTTATTATTTGCCTCAAAATATAGCCTCTAATAAATCGGAATGCTAGATAAAAACCAAGTCAATCTCAACCCTATTATACATAAAAGTACTTAGTGAGTGGCAATTAGATAATTAAGGTTAAATAACAGTTCTATAATTTGTTGAGCGGCAAATCCACAATTGTTGCAAAGTGACAGTTCTGTAATTATTTTTTGAGTTGTATTTATGTAATAATTTATTGAGTGACAGTTCTATAATCGCTGATGAGTGACTTCGTCATTCTAAAATGACAGTTTTATAATTGGGGTTATATGAGATAACCCCCTCATACAAAATTTTTAGAGGCATAAATCCATATTTTTTTTTACTATTAGGGATAACCCCTTCATTAAGGTTAATATCTTATTTACCCTTATTATATTTTAAAAAAATATAATTAAACTATTATTGCTAAATAACTCCCCTAAAATAACTCCCCCTTAAATCTCTCACCAACTCCCCCAAATCTCTCTCTTAATACAAATCACGCATTTTTATTTATTCTTTTTACAATCTTTTTTTAATTTTGATTTAAAAAATATATTTATTTTTTTTCAATTTTCATTTTTGTAATTAGTTTTTTACCGCAAGTTTAATAAAAACTTGAAATCCACTACATACATATTGAAAACCACTATAAATTCATCTTTTACAATCTTTTTGTAATTTCGATTAAAAAAATATATTTATTTTTTTTCAATTTTCATTTTTTTAATTTGTTTTTTACCGCAAGTTTAACAAAAAATTGAAATCCACTACATACTCATTGAAAACCACTATAAATTCATCGAAAACCACTATTCGATTAACGTAGAAATCAGTGTGATATAATGCACTACAAACATATCGAAATCGAATAAAAATTTACATAATCCACTACGAATTAATGTAATCCATTACAAAATTATCATAATCCACTACAAAGTTATAAAAATCCACTTTATAGGTTAAAGTAATCCACTACAAATTAACGTAATTTATGGATTGAAATCCGCTACATACTCGTTCAAAAACACTATAAATTCATCGAAAACCACTATTCGATTAACGTAGAAATCATTATGAAATTATCGTAATCAACTTTAATATTAATATAATGCACTACAAACGTATCGAAAATCGAATAAAATTTTACATAATCCACTACGAATTAACTTAATCCATTACGAAATTATCAAAATCCACTACAAAATTATAAAAATCCACTTTATAGGTTAAAGTAATCCACTACAAAATTAAAGTAATATATGGATTGAATCCACTACATACTCATTGAAAACCACTATAAATTTATCGAAAACCACTATTCGATTAACGTAGAAATCAGTATGAAATTATCGTAATCAACTTTAATATTAATATAATGCACTACAAACGTATCGAAATCGAATAAAAATTTACATAATCCACAACGAATTAACGTAATCCATTACGAAATTATCAAAATCCACTACAAAGTTATCAAAATCCACTTTATAGGTTAAAGTAATCCACTACAAAATTAACGTAATATATGGATTGAAATCCACTACATACTCATTGAAAATCACTATAAATTCATCGAAAACCACTATTCGATTAACGTAGAAATCAGTATGAAATTATCGTAATCAACTTTAATATTAATATAATACACTACAAACATATCGAAATCGAATAAAAATTTACATAATCCACAACGAATTAACGTAATCCATTACGAAATTATCAAAATCCACTACAAAGTTATCAAAATCCACTTTATAGGTTAAAATAATCCGCTACAAAATTAACGTAATATATGGATTGAAATCCACTACATTCTCATTGAAAACCACTATAAATTCATCGAAAACCACTATCGATTAACGTAGAAATCAGTATGAAATTATCGTAATCAACTTTCATATTAATATAGTGCACTACAAACGTATCCAAATCGAATAAAAATTTACATAATCCACTACGAATTAACGTAATCCATTACGAACTTATCTATTTGCCGACAAAATATAGGGGGAAGGAGACAAATCGTTCTGCGTTTTGGGAAAACATACCAACTTCGTAATGTAATTGTCTAATAAATTTAAGAATCATAGTCAAAGAAAATATAAATCTGGAATTGGATTTGCGAAAAACTCATGGCTAGAGGAATTGGATTTAGAAAAAAACCCTTCCTCTCTCAGCACTCTCTTCACGCAGTCCCACACACCTTTGTACAGAATGTTCCCCAATTGCAGCCTCTGCTTCACCATATCCATGGGAGTAAGCACAGTAATCGCTGGCAACAGTGGCACATGTGCTCCACCATGCCGGCGGTCGAGCCGACGACCATGAACTGGCAGGAGTGAAGTCCGTCGTCTCCACCGCGGCGGCGGCGATTGCAGGTACGGGGAGGAGGACCGACTTCTGGAATCTCGGCGAAGTGTCGGTGGCCATGGGAATCTCGGCGAAGCGTCGGCGAAGAAAGGGTGGCCGGATTATTAGGGGAGATGAATATTGTGTGTTATAGAACGAAAGAGAATAGAAATGATGAACGATCGATTAACGGCGGTTCAATTTAGATGAGTACGCGATTAGGTTAAGAAGGGTATAATAGGATTATAATGATTTAATTATATAATATTTAAATAAATGGATTTATCTCAAAATGTGGAAAAAAAAATGGACCCCCTCTAATTGTAAATGTCATATGAGGGGGTTTTCTCAAATAATCCCTTTATAATTACTTAGTGAGTTGTACTTCTTAATTTACAGAGTGTTAATCTTAGTGGTAATTAGTACTCCCACTCTTTTGCCAAGTCAAACTGAGTTAGTTGACTTAGTGATAATTAGTGGCTCAAACTCTAAAAGTCAACTCATAAACATATTACATTGAGATAAGAACAGAGTCAACCTTTGACTGGTCCTAGCTACTCCCTCCCAATTTCTTTATCCCATCACCATATATAAGTATATAACTAAAACAAAATAAAAGAAAAACAAACAAATCCGGTCTTGCCCACTGAGTGTAACAACAAAGATAGTCTTCTAAACGTGATCGTATAGCTCAACTGACTTCGAGGATAATAAGTTGTTGGAAGATTCTATGATCGAGTACTTGCAGCCGCATTACGCGAATTTCAAATCTAGTGACGAATTTCGTACTTTTTTTTTATTGGTGCAAGATACTCTTATAATAATAAAATAAATAAATAAAAAGCATCTTCTATTAATGAAAATAAGAATGTATACAAATAAATCAAAGAATTACGAATCCTATATATATATATAAATATATATAACTAGAATGAATTAGTGCCGGCAAGATTGTGATGCAACAGCTTATGAGCAATCTTATCCCTAACATGCAAAGCATTAACAGACCTGACGTCATTCTCCGGCACGATGACGTCATCAAAAAGCTCGAAACCCAGCTCACCATCACCCAACCCGTCTTTTCTCAGTTCACATATGTTATGCAGTACGCAGCACGCGCCCAGCACCACCGGCAAATCCTGCAGTTTCATCTCCGTCCTCTTCTGCAAGCAGCTCCACCGGGCTTTCAGCCTCGCGAACGAGCCTTTAGCAACGCTCTGAACATCCTCGATCTTCTCGTTGTACGCGTGCTGCGTCCACGTCAGATTCTGGTGGGTGTACGGAACCAGAACCCAGTCCATTAACGGGTAGCTCGAGTTTCCGGCGAGCCACGTGTCTCTCAGGGCGCCCTTGTTCGCTCTCTGGAAGAGGGCGGATTTCTCCAGGACTTGGTCGTCGGACATTGAGCCCGGGTAGCCGATGCAGATGTCGGTGAGTACTCCGGTGGGGTCCACCACCCCCTGGACGGTGATTGAGTACGAGGTCTTTTGGTTCCTGTCTGTGTGGCGTTTGTTGAAGTAGGCGGCGACGTTGGTTTTCGGGGCGATGATTGGGATGTGGGTTGTGTACATTGCTCCGGCGAGGTTTGGGATGCCGGAGAGAAGTTCGAATTCGGTTTTGATTTTCCGCATTCGGGTTTCGTCCGGCCACTGGAGGAATTTGGGCATCAGCACGGTTTTTATGGCGGTGCAGACTTCGAGCACTAGTTTATGGCAGGTGGAGATTCCTAGTCCGAACCGCTTCGACACCTCGCGGAGGGCTTCGCCGGTGGCCAGCCGCCATATGCATACGGCGACGCGCTGCCGGACGGGGATCGCGAGGCGGAGGGCGGTGTCTTTTCTGGTGACTGCGGGTTCGAGTTCTTCGCAGATTAAATCGAAGGTGGCTCTGCTCATACGAAAGGCCGACTTGAATTCATCTTCCGGATAATCCGGGCTGTCGACTTGCTCCCACCACGCTTTCGATCGGTTTTTCACCCACAGGCGGCGCTGCCCGCCGCCGCCGCCGCCTGTGGCGGCGGCGGCGGAGGTGGACTCGTCGGGTGTTTCTTCGGAGCGCGGCCGTTTGGGTTGTGGGGAATTTCTGGAATTGGTTAAATTAGAGGTGTCGTCCATTTCTTGATTGAAGAATGAAAGGTGGTGGTGCGCCGCCGTGAAAAAATTCTGGGGGTGGTTTTCCTCCGGCGGGGCCGGAGTATCGAGTGCGAAGAATCGGGTGAGTAATTCGTCAACGGATGGGTCGTTGTCGATGGGTTCGCATCTGGGTCGCTTATTGGGGGCGGAAAATGAAATGGTGGCGGCGGCGGCGGCGGCGGAGCCGGAATCTTGAACGAAGGAGAAAAGGGAAGAGTAGTCTTCAAGAACAGGGAAAGGTGAAATTTCCATTAAAAATTAAATTAAAATAAAAATCAAAATCAAAATAAAATATAGAAGAGGAGTGTATTTCAGAAAGGGATTGAAGAGTGTAGAAAGAGGGAAGAGAAGAGTCTGAATGAAGAAGAAATGGAATTGGGTGTTTTTTTGTTATATATACCGCTGCCACGCGGTTGGGGGTGGGGTAGCGCGTAGGACGCGGTGGGGAAGAAGATTCCTGAAAGGCGAGTGAGTGGACTATTTTGTTTTGTTTTGACGGGGACTGTTTGGTTTTGATTTGAAAGCGGAAAAAGTAAATAAATAAATATAATAATATTATAATAAGATTGTTTTTGACGCGGTTACAACAAAAAGGCACGTTTTGGGTATTTGGGAATATGTGGGAAGTGAGGAGGAAATTCAGTTCTGCTACTTACTTATTTATTCATCAATATTAAGTTTTAACTCACTAACTACTACTACTATAAACTAATTAATACTCCCTCTGTTCCATAATATCTGTCTCTTTTGAGAATTTTTTTTGTTCCATATTATCTGTCACTTTACAATTCCAATGCTGCATTAATTGCTTATTTTTCAATTTTACCCTTATTAACTCTATAGCACTCTTCATGCATTAATTAATAAACAAGGGTATTTTAGTCTATCAATACCTATTTTCCTAAAATCAAGACATATTTATTGAGATTCTTAAGATTTGTGCCAAGGTGAAAAACGACACCTATTTAGGAACGGAGGGAGTAATATATAATATAAATATATATATATATATATATATAGAAAACGTGGTTTATGATTTAGATGGTCAATAAACACGCTTGACCTTACTAGCTGGTCTCTAATTTGTGTGAACAGTCAAACAGGAAAAAACAAGTGTATCTGCTGTCACTGATGCACGTTTTCTTTTAGCTCGAGTCATTACAATTTGAAACCCACGTTTGGATAATTACATATATAAATAAATAAAACAAATTGTACCTATATTAAAATGTTTTTTTTTTTGATGTTTGATTAGTTTATCTGTCCTTTTCATTTGTGCAGTGTGCTTTGTTTTCTAATATCACTCATGGAAAATATAAGATAACACCATGTTGAATCATTTATTCCAAGTTATAGTTTTTACTAATATTTTATCATTTTCTTTTTAATCGAGTCAAGTTTCATTGCTTATTGAACGTAAATGTATGTTCAAATTTGGCTCGTTAAAAATCGAAATCGAACTTATTGACGAGCTGGGTATTGGTAAAGCCCAAAGGAAGGTATATTACTAGTTATTAGAATTTAGACCTATTTGAAGGTATATTTAACAATGAAACTTACTTATGGGCCTTAGAACTATGTTACATCAAATGGACTAAATAATAAAAAGAGTAAATAGCACTTAACCCCCTGTTGTTTGAGCTTTGTGCACATAGATCCAAAATGTAGCGTGGGCTTCTTCCTAATAACAATAAGAGCAGGCAACCCCTAATACTGTAAAATATTTACAAACTATCAAACTATACATTTCCGGGAGCAGCAATTGCAAAAATGCAGAGTAGAAATATACACTCAAAACTGATTCAAGGACACATATATTCACAAGCAGAACACGTGCAAATTAAACCGTAACACCGATTCACTGATGAACGAATGTTTTTTTTTTCACTGATGAAGTTATCCTTTTAGTTTCCTCCATTCTTGAATGGCGGAATGAAGCATATAATTCGGAGTTAGCGTCTTGTTTTGCAGTTTTTCTCTTGTCACCGGTGATACGTCGTGCCTGTCGAGCCATGCTTTTATCGCACCATGCTCGTACGTAAAACCATCACCTGCTATGTGAGGATTGTCCATTATTTCCTGCATTTCAATTGTACTGTTAAGATTTATGTGCACACACAAGAATTAAGTCAGATAATAATAGGTTCTATATATACATAACTATCTATATGTATATGATCTTTTTCACCTGAAGGATTGGGCAGTAAAAGTGTTTAGGTACATGGTCTCTCCCAGTAGAGCTAACAGAATCCGCAAATTCAGCAAGTCGTTTCAAAATCGGAAGTACCTCCGTTTCAAGGTCTGGCCGATCTCTACATCTAAGTTTGCAGCATTTTAACGCGATATGTGCTAATTCTTCTGCTTGAGCTAATGGCCAATCAATAATTGACTTATCGAGAATCTCCGATAAAGTGCCACTGCTTACAGCGTTTTCGAACTTCGTTATAAGCCCATTTGGATGGCGTGAGGCCAACAACTGAAGGGCTATTACTCCAAAAGAATAAAGATCGGATTTTGGTCGGAGGGTTCCAGTTCTCTGATACTCAGGATCCATGTAGAACAGGGTACCCGCTATCACGGAGTCCCTATATTGTGTGACACTGTCAGGGACAACATCGGAAATTATTTTTGCCAAGCCCACATCTCCGATTTTGCTCACGAAATTCTTGTCTAGTAAAATATTTCCGGGTTTTAGATCTCGGTGAACTATGGACTCTGGCTTCGATTGGTGCAAGAAGGCAAGCCCACAAGCTACTTCAAAAGCAATTCGGAATCTAACGGGCCATGGAAGTGGAGGTCTGCCTTTTCTGCGCAGAATATGTTCTTCCAGGTTTCCGTTTTCCATATACTCGTAAACAAGGCAGCCATTTTCTGGACAGGCTCCAAGCAATAAGACAATGTGAGGGTGCCGTAATTGACTAAGGACTTCTACCTGCATGTTCAATCAACCATTTAATGATATTGGAAGTTACATCAATAATAAAAGTATATAGCCCTTACAATATTTTGAAACGAGGTGATGATATCCGGTAAGCGAAAACATATATATCATGCAGATTACCCATCATAAGTGCATGCTGAAATTTCAAATTAAATACTATGCACTGAGTATCTACTTGTGCATGATCAATTTTCAAAAGCTTTTAAGGGTATATGTGACTGTTAGTCATTTCTTTAACAAGTGATCTCATAAGAGTTTAACAGCTTTTGCTGTTTGTGATGAATAAGAAAGTTCATGCTTGAAGTTGTTACAGCGGGGAAGGTAAATGAGATTTGAGAGAGTAGGTTGTGCAAATGTGGGAAAAGTACAATAACTAGAATATATGAAGGCCAAACCTCTTTTAGAAACTCCTCCTTTCTGTCAGCTGCATCAGGGCGAAGGATTTTGACAGCCACTGAGGTGTGATCAAGGCTACACTTGTAAACTTTACCATATGCTCCTTCCCCAATCATGTTACTTTCAGCCAAAAAACCAGTTGCCTTCTGTATGTCCTGCATTGTATACCTTTTATACCTTCGGTCACTAGACAATAGTGCTTCAACAATTCTCTTTTTCTCTAACGACTCTTTTTGGGCCTTCAGCTCTGCCATCTGCCTTTCATATGTCTCTTTAGCTAGAAGTTGTTTTGCCATCTCAACCTCCTTCTCAGCTTCCAGATACTTCTGTTTCTCTAAAGCAGCAGCTTTCCTTAAACTTTGTTCTCTTCTTTGTGCAGCATTCACTCTTTGTGCTTCTTGAACGCATTCAGAATTAAGCAACTGAACCTGAAACATAAAGCTTCAAAACTTAGTTTTATTTTTTGGGGAGTCAAGTGTTGATTCCTGATCTTGAGATATCCGATTCGTATCATATATTGCATGTGAAATGAAGCTAAAACTGACTGATAAACTGACTCTGTAAATATAGGATGGGGTAGCCATTGTTCTTTTCTTGGTATTTTTTTACAGAGAAACATTTATTGTGAACCAAATTAATATAAAATAACATTCTGGAATGGAGCTGACATAAATAAATAAATAAAGGATATGATATATCATCTTCAATGTATTGGATATCAAGTATTCTAGTAGAGAGATAGTAAACAAGTTAAGCTCTCACCTTGCTTTGTGCATGGACAAGGCCTTCACAAGTTCGGTTGTACATGGTTAGGGTATTCTCCAATTCTAGGCGCATTCTTTCTATTTCAGTCTGAACGTCTGACTGCAGAACACAAATAAGTACACTTCTCATTGAGTGAGGATTTGAATTTTACTTTCTTGATGAAAACAAGTTTTCATTGTAGAAAAGCTAATAGGCAATTACCTGCTCTGAGTATGTAGAAGAAATGGATGGAAATCCTTTATTTTTCGACTTATCTGAGTGACCATCTTCTGAGTCTTGATGGACTATTTCCTGAACAGAACCAGAATGCATGGAAGAGAACCTTGGGGTGTGCGCCTGAGAATTTGAATGACTAACATCTGAGAGGTAGCTAGAATATTTGGACTCAGCGGATGATGAAGAAACGCTGGATTCTTGTTTACTAAATCCACGTGAAACACTCTCCCTCTCTGGTAAAGTACAAAAGAAAACCAATTAAGGATGAAAATGGTAGCCGAATGATGACGGCACCCAATAACTGACATACCAGAAGTTAACATAGGGTTCAATGAATTTGAGATGATTTTATTTGCAGAGACTACGTAGATGTCGCACGTGTCGGGAGCATGTTTGAGAACAATTGACGGCACCTCGGAATCCTTTCGCTTCCTAATAAATAAAAAAATGAATCATCAATTACAATGTGAACAAAACACATGCTACACCTAAAGCATACAAGATATCATTATAAACAGAAATACATTCACATGGAAACTTCAACTTGCAGTTTACTGTTTCTCTCCAGAAGTGAGAAAATCCAGTGTTAATGATCATTGAATCCAGTAGCAAGTAAGTATGAACATGTAATAATTATCTCCAGTCATTACAAACTACTACTATTTTAGCATTCAAATCACGGCCATACAAGGATTCAATTGGAAAGAAATTAGAAGCAGAAAAAACGTAAACAATACTAAGTGGCATTTACCTCGCAAAGTAACCGGAGGTGCAAGATCCCAGCACCAAACTTGTATTTTTCGAATCAGACATGTATCTTAAAAGTGCAAATGCAGGACTGTCTCCTTCCAATAACAAGGTTTCAATCTAGAGAGGTTCAAAATATTATAAGGTCGATGAACTTGGGAAAAATTAACTGAAAATTAGACTGAGAACAGAGCCCCACCTTTTCTGTCTCATACAGACGCTTGAAAGTTTGAAAACTTTCTTCACACTTTGCCCTCACATCTTGGATATACATTCCCGCCGCGCTTGCGTCTAGATCCTTGACGGAGATGCAACCACCCGCTGTTAAATGCATAATTGACAGAAACGAACACGTTAACTAATGTAGCAAGCTAAATAATGATGATATAGCACATGTCACATTTGTGATTCTGACCCTTAGATGACAAATTTTTCGAACATAGAGAAATCGGCAACAGTTAGCACAGAGCCTAATTATATTAAATACTAAATACAAAAAGATAAGAATACTGTAGGTAAATCAAAAACCCAATATTCTGGGGACCAAATAGAACAAGCAACCCAAAAATGAGCCAAAAAAGAGTATCCGGTCAAAAACCAAGGTAATAACATTATCTAGTTCTTGGCTTTTCTATTCTTGTGAATTTCGTAAAGTCGGAAAAATATATAAAAAATTAACAAAAATGGAAATGGAAAATAACTCAGGGATTGATATGAACAGTTTTCAATGCAAATTGCAGAGGAACTGCTCAGAAATGAAGGGGAAAGGAGAAACTTAAATTACATCCATGCCTTGCAGCTATTGGAGTTTCCTTTTCGATTTACCGGTGCATCTAATGAAGAAAAACCAATAAATTTTCGAGTTTAGTTCTGCCTAATTAGAATACTTCCAACTTTTCAGGTTCCTCAATTCCACATCAAAAGACACACACACACAGACAATATTAACAACTCCAACATGCAGCAAGAAAAATCGAAAATACTCCAGCTAATTCCAAATTATTCAACCCTAGTATATCTAACTAGCGTTCCCTATTCAGTTCCAATTAAATCATAAAAAATAAATAAAATTAGCGCACCCACACACACTGAGCGACCAGTGTGTTTTCCGTTTTTATGTGCAGATACAAAGAGAAGGGCGGGGTTTTGAGGGAGAAATGAAAAGAAGCTAACATACAAGGAGTAGGAACAGAAGTGATGGCGCGCATAACATGAACCAGAACCAGACGATCGGCTTTGTGCAACAAATTATCCACCGCCCACCGCACCGCCCTCTGCGTTCCCCTCCCCTCCGCGCTCTTCACCGCCACAGCCACCACCACATTCGCCGTAATCGGAGAACGACCACCGCCGCTAACCCTCATCGCCAATTTTTTTTTTTTTCAAGTTTCTAGCTTAAGATAATAAATAAAGAGAGAACAATTTTATGTTGACTGATACTTATGCGAAATTTGAACAGTGCGAGGGAATAAGTGGGGCCCGGTCGTTGGGAAAAATGAACGGCCCAGATGAAATCTGGAACGTGCTAAGCCGTTCAATTTCAAGTGCATGAATCTGCCCCTTTGGAGGACCGTTCACTGTAGGAAACCAAACATTGAATTATTATTTATTTTGTTGAATTATTATTTTTTTTTTGGGTAGTGAAATTTGTAAATATTCCCACTAGGCCACCACCATTTTTCTAAATATTATAATAAGATTCAAGTTGGTAATTCTTTTTTATATTAAGTTGACAATATTCTATTTTGCATTAAATTATAATGGAGAAAACATTTATGTTGTCTATGGTTGGTTGACTAAGTTATTTAGAGAGAGGAGAGAGAATCTGTCAACCAGTTAGATTGATAATGTTGACTTGCTGAGTTAAAACGGATATAATACGAGTTTTTAAGTTAGAACATGCTGAACAACATAATTATATTTGGAACTAATTAGTCTACAAGTTGTACATGAAAATTATTTTTTCATTTTTTTTACAAGGTAATCCACAATTATATCCGTGTCATGGTAAAAGGTCTAAATTGCAGTGGAAGTAGTTAAAACGGTAGATTATTTTCAGATTGATATGTCTGATTAGACCGACTCAGTAGGCTCATTAATTCGTTTCTGTATTTGGCTAAAATTTAAAGCCCAAAACAAAGGATACTTATAAATGAATTACACTCTTAATAATATGTATATATATCATAAAATTTGAATTTAAATTTATAATAATATGTTTGTATGGGTTTGTCATCAATTGTCCATGTGGGGAGGTCCGGGTATGAACGACCAACAATCGAATGCCGTGGACGCTTAGGGTCCGTAGTTTTAGGACTAACTTGTACCGCTACAAGTGGTATCAGAGCTAATGTTACACGTTAGAGCAATTATTTAGGGGGCCAAAACTTCTTTTTTTTTATTGAAACATTCTATGGATAGAAGTTAGAACACGTATCTGAGGAAAAGTTTATGAACATGTTCTTTTTAATAAAATAAAAAAAAAAATAAAAAATCATATAATATGAGTTCCGATTCCATGGCATATTCGCAATAATAAAACATAGTAGTTATAAATTTGAATTTTATTGTAAATGAATTCATTCAAACATTGTAACTAGTAATTTACAATTGTCTAGTAGCCTTAAAGAATGGCCATGTAAACCAACTAGGATTACACTAATCAATCAAATTTAACTTCATGAATCCAGGGAACATGGAAACCACCTACCCTCAGGTGGAAAATATAATTTTTAAATGTTGCTTAATAATCAGCCATTTGCAACATATATAGAAGATTTAATTTCACACAGTATCTGTACATACAAAAGTTATTTACATACATGAACAATTAATGCAATCTGAAAGGACATGTGGAAATTTTCGACTTTTATTTATTTATTTAATTTTCTGTTCTCTTTCTATATCGTAAGATAACTCTTTACCATAATTGCGCCCGTTGGATCAGATATGAGATGGTTGATGAGGCACTTTCTCATGTCATTTGGCGCTATAACAAACATATACAAGGCAAACAATAGTAGATCACCTGACGATAGAGTCGAGCCGAGGAACCCTTGAGACATCCTGTTGGAATTATTTAACATAGTTGTTTATAAGAAACGAGCTTTCTTCGTAATAAAATCTTAACTTCGCTGAAATCTTGAAGCTAATATGATTTAGAGTGATAAAAAATGGGACGTTGTATATAGTACCATTTTGGCAAACGGAAGAACGAGTGGAAGAATGTCCTTATGCCTTCAGTATCCAGTTGTACGATGAGAGCTAATCCGAAGAGGAAAAATGCTCGTTGTCTTTTCCTCTCGAGGGGCCAAAGAGCATTCCAGGCTGAACAAAGACATAACTTAATTTAACAGGACAGATAAGAATATTACTGCATAAATATCTTTCTTATAAACACTTTAATAAACAGAAACAATGATTTAAGTGCAGTTTTCCCTAAACAATCTAGGAATTTGATACTCCAATTTTATTTTTTACGATTTGCAACGTATCCAAGTATCTTGGGCAAAGTGTAATTAATACGTGATAGTCTGAAATTTCAATAGCTATAGAGAAAACAATATGAAATTTCAATAGCTATAGAGAAAACAATATATGAAGATAGGGAATCAATGGATAAATATATGCGAGGTCGATAATGTACCTTGCATTGAGATATTCTCTGAAATCCCTGAGCTGGCTAGCATGTTTCTAGCATGGCCTTGTTTCAAAATATTAGCAATAGTAGACGCGTATTTTGGGGCCTCTGATAGTGATCTAACAACCGAGTATCCTGTTTCATGACAGTTTTATGTAATTATTTCATATTAAATTTTGTTATAAAAATTAAACCTATGAAGCATTTGAAAAATTATAGTAAGCAATGGACATCAAGGTGTCTTTCATTATAATATTACCTGTGGCTGGATGGACCATGCTAGCAGCAGCACCAAAGGCGAGGTTCTTCTGCTCAGTGTTTGGCAAAGAACCACCAACAGGAATATAAGACCACTCCTGCACGAAGTTTCACGTAATTATCGAGCAATATTCAGAAGTATGGTTCCAAATTAAGATTTCTAGACAAAATAAAGAGAGAGCATTTTTAAGTGTACCTCTTCGTAGGTTCTTACGATGCGGACACCCATTGTCTCTAGTCTTGACATGAGTTTATTTTTCAGTAGTTCAAAAGGCATGGCATCTTTCGATGCTAAACACGTTTCCTGCTAAGCAACTCGTGTTATTTTAAAAGATAAGTAATAATGTTTCTGCGGAACATGATTCTGTGAAATAAAGTTTGATCAAACCTCAAAGAAAACTTTTGTCGGGGACATGGGCATTGCATAAAGAAATGTCGGATACTGCGCTTCTAGACATTCAACTTTATCTCCCATGAAATCTCTGTAGTCCATGAAAACCATCAGGCTGGGGTCATACGGATTATTTTCCACCTGCAATTAGAAACGGTATATCTAAAACTTCTAGCAAGAGATCAATAGCACCAAGCTTCCAATAATTTGAATCATGAAAAACCAACAACAGATATATATATATTTCCGAAAAGGAGCACTAAATGCAACAAAGCTTTGATATTCTTGACATTTATTTACGTTCATACCTCAACCTCAATACCATAGGCTGTCTGAACAGAAACCCTTGGACCCCCAACCTCATACTCTAGAAGTTTCCCCGAGGCTGCACCGGATGCTACTGTGGCAAGCCTGTAATTTTAGTTCAGATGCATAATGAGAAAATTAATTTCATTACAAAGTAAAAGAGTGATTAAAGATAGAACTAATTAGCACACCTGCAGGGAATCACGATATTGCCTTCACATTCGACAAGTCTGTGGCCGCTTGAAGCTTCAGTTATCCGTTCCACTTTCGTGCTAAGATACGATACACCTGACTCGACACACCTAGGGAAATTAATATGAGTTACAGAACTACTAACTGTGATCCATCTTGTAAAAACAAACACATAGTTGTGGTTAACTTTTTTTTACCTTTTCAGTAACTCTTCGTGGAGCAAATGGCGACTAACGCGTCCATATGCGCGGCCAACAGAAATAGGGGCATTGTCATCTAGATATACAATGGTATCCCGCCAAACATGCTCAATGCAACGTTCAAGCCCTAGATCTGAAAAGTTGGCAAAGAAGCTCATGTAATGTAGAAGAAAAGGGTGCAAAATGAACGCTCAAATATGCTATTTTTATTTGTATATTCTATTTAAAAGATCGACATAGCCGAATTTATGCTCTTTTAACAGAAGTGTGATACATTTAAATTTAAATTACACAATTAAATGATTGCTCTCACTATCACATGGAAATAAATCTACTAATGTAGAAAAAAGGAAAGAAATTGATATTGGAGAACTTTTTAGAAATCGCAAAGTTGGCTTATCAAGAAACTTCTATTTCCCACAAGCAGGAACCATTGGATGCACAAAATTCTTACCTAAGTCAACCTTTCGTTTTTCACAATTTTAAATGCTTCAAATCGATTGAGATAGGAAAGCCAAATAATAGGAATCAGATCAAGACAAAGCGCACCTCTAAATTCATCCTCCCACACCCCGTAGTTATTTGTGAAAGGGAGATCAGGGCCAATAAGTCCAACACTCAAACCTAGCTTAGCTGACTCAGCAGCGAGCGCTAGCCCAGCAGGTCCGCAACCGATTACCACCAAATCTAGTACATTATCTCCAACGACTATTCTTGGCAACTGCATTTATGACAGCAAAAATATGCCGATAAAGATAGTAAGTGAGATTGATCAATAATTGATGGAATCATAAGGAAATATTTAGGTCGAACATAACTAAAACTTGGCAAAATAATTATTTACGTCATAATTCAAAATTGAGAAAAAGGTTTTCTGCACACAAGCCTAGACAGGACGAAATCTTAGTACATTACTGAATAATCCATAGAATATCATCTCATCAATGCCTAGTGCATTCTTTTAGAAGTCGAGGGCCACTTTTTGTGTGTCTCTACTCTCGGTCGCTAACTTCAATATCGAAACTGTACGAAGAACCAAAACCCTTATGATGTCGTTATCAATTATAGTGCTGCTTAATTGAGTAGTACATGGACCAAATTCTCTATAAGGTTAAATAAATCTTATTCTAGTTAGAACCCTGAATTCTGTTATCCGGAAGAGAAGAAACTACGAGGGAAAACCCAAACAATAATGATCCTTCAATTCAAACATTGTTCGATGTTTACGGTAATTTAATTACGTCTATTTTATAATCATATACCTGGCAATGCGATCACAGTCCTAGAAAACTCCAATTACCCACGCTGTTTTTTTATTTTAAATAATTCCGGAAATGCTAAACATTGATAATTAATTGCTGTCTATTCAAAAATCAAAGATGAATTCGGTAATTTGTAGCGGTAATCAACTAACTGATGGCACTAGTTTATCAGGTATATGCATGAGACGAACCCTAGCCAACCCAAGGAACAAAATCCCCAAAACATGTCTGTTAAAAAAAAAAAAAAAAAAAAAAACAGGAAATTAAAAGCAAAAACAAAATCATAATTGAAAATGTGACCTTATCCGAAAGCTTTGATTGGTGGTCCATGTCTTTGTTCTGCTGCATTTGAACAAACGAAAGCTCGGAGCCACCGGCCTTCACGAAATCCTCCTCATCGGCGAAATCTTCCTTCACCGGCAAAGCCAAACAGCTCTCGCTCCCAACACTCGCGCACCGTACGGGAAAAGCAGGCGATGTGGAACAACTGTGTGCGTATTTTAGTGTGTGTTTTTTCCCGCTCCTCGAAGAACTCATCGTCGGGTAAACAGAGACCGCCATTGCTGCCAAATTTCTCGCTGCTAAACCCTCCATTTTTAATATATTTTTTTTTTACTTCTGCACGCAGTAGCTGTTTCAGTGTGTGTGTGTGTTTTTACTAGAATATTTGTTAAGAGGGAATGCAGGGAAGAAGAAACTGCACGAACCTGAGGGTTTGATGATTGGTGCTTTTTGGCTATGGGGTTTTCAGCTCTTTTATATTTTCTGTGTGGGCAAATGCTGATAGGATAGGGGGGGAGGTGAAGTTTTGATGAGATTCAACGTTCATCCCCCCCCCCCCCCCCCACGTGCCACGTGGACGGGTGTGATTTGCTGTTTTTGTTGGAGGGCCTAACAAAAATTATTGGTCGTCGGAAGATTTTGGAATTTTTTTAAATTATTGTATGAGATTTTTTTGGTGCAGACATGGATTGGGTTTTGGGTAGGAATGTGGGTGATGGTCTCGTGAGTTTTGGGGGAAGAAAGGTGGGTGATGTGGTCTGTTGGATACAGCTTTTTTCATGTATTTCCTTTTTTGTCTTTTTTTTTTCTTTTTTTTAATATTTATTTGTATTTAATATTAAAGATGCAAGTGAAGCGACAAATTTACCCCTCAAAATTTCACGTGCAAAGCACATGTTTTAACATTCCGGTCAAAATTGCCCAGTTTAGGGGGCACCGTGCAACGAATTAACGAGTTCAGGTCGTGCAATTTTTTTTAATGGAGAGAGGTCCAAAATATTTTAGTACTTTTGAAAAATCAATTTTTCGTTTTAAGAAATCACCGTCTCCGCCTCTGCTCCTCCGACGTCAAAGATCCTAACCTCATCCTCATCTTCTATTGATCTATGAGCAAAATAGGATTTGAATACATTTTATTTGAACTGAATATGGGCCGCTGAGGAGATGTACTGTACCAATTATCGGAGATGGATGGTGCTGTTATTTTTTCGACAGAGAATGTTACCTGGCTCGCCGACGAAGCTATATCCTTGAAAGGAGGATGAGTGGTGGTCGTCGGAAGATTTTGGAATTTTTTTAAATTATTGTTTGAGATTTTTTTGGTGCATACATGGATTGGGTTTTGGGTAGGAAGGTGGGTGATGGTCTAATGAGTTTTGGGGAAGAAAGGTGGGTGATGTGGTCTCTTGGATGACAGCTTTTTTCATGTATTTCCTTTTTTGTCTTTTTTTTTTCTAATATTTATTTGTATTTAATATTAAAGATGCAAGTGAAGGGACGAATTTACCCCTCAAAATTTCACGTGCAAAGCACATGTTTTAACATTTCGGTCAAAATTGCCGGAAGATTGAGTTTAGGGGGCACCGTGCAACGAATTAACGAGTTCAGGTAGAAACGTGCAATTGTTTTTAATGGAGAGAGATCCAAAATATTTTAATCCTTTTGAAAAATCAATTTTTCGTTTTAAGAAATCACCATCTCCGCCTCTGCTCCTCCGACGTCAAAGATCCTAACCTCATCCCCATCTTCTATTGATCTATGAGCAAAATAGGATTTGAAGACATTTTATTTGAACTGAATATGGGCCGCCGAGGAGATGTAGTGCACCAATTATCGCAGATGGATGGTGCTGTTATTTTTTCGCCACAGAATGTTACCTAGCTCGCCGACGAAGCTATATCCTTGAAAGGAGGAGGAGTGGTGGTCGTCGGAAGATTTTGGAATTTTTTTAAATTATTGTTTGAGATTTTTTTGGTGCAGACATGGATTGGCTTTTGGGTAGGAAGGTGGGTGATGGTCTAATGAGTTTTGGGGAAGAAAGGTGGGTGATGTGGTCTCTTGGATGACAGCTTTTTTTCATGTATTTCCTTTTTTGTCTTTTTTTTTTTTTTTAATATTTATTTGTATGTAATATTAAAGATGCAAGTGAAGGGACGAATTTACCCCTCAAAATTTCACGTGCAAAGCACATGTTTTAACATTTCGGTCAAAATTGCCGGAAGATTGAGTTTAGGGCGCACCGTGCAACGAATTAACGAGTTCAGGTAAAAACGTGCAATTGTTTTTAATGGAGAGAGATCCAAAATATTTTAATCCTTTTGAAAAATCAATTTTTCGTTTTAAGAAATCACCATCTCCGCCTCTGCTCCTCCGACGTCAAAGATCCTAACCTCATCCCCATCTTCTATTGATCTATGAGCAAAATAGGATTTGAAGACATTTTATTTGAACTGAATATGGGCCGCCGAGGAGATGTAGTGCACCAATTATCGCAGATGGATGGTGCTGTTATTTTTTCGCCACAGAATGTTACCTGGCTCGCCGACGAAGCTATATCCTTGAAAGGAGGAGGAGTGGTGGTCGTCGGAAGATTTTGGAATTTTTTTAAATTATTGTTTGAGATTTTTTTGGTGCAGACATGGATTGGCTTTTGGGTAGGAAGGTGGGTGATGGTCTAATGAGTTTTGGGGAAGAAAGGTGGGTGATGTGGTCTCTAGGATGACGGTTTTTTTCATGTATTTCCTTTTTTGTCTTTTTTTTTTTTTTTTTTAAATATTTATTTGTATTTAATATTAAAGATCGATGCAAGTGAAGGGACGAATTTACCCCTCAAAATTTCACGTGCAAAGCACATGTTTTAACATTTCGGTCAAAATTGCCGGAAGATTGAGTTTAGGGGGCACCGTGCAACGAATTAACGAGTTCAGGTAAAAACATGCAATTGTTTTTAATGGAGAGAGATCCAAAATATTTTAATCCTTTTGAAAAATCAATTTTTCGTTTTAAGAAATCACCATCTCCGCCTCTGCTCCTCCGACGTCAAAGATCCTAACCTCATCCCCATCTTCTATTGATCTATGAGCAAAATAGGATTTGAAGACATTTTATTTGAACTGAATATGGGCCGCCGAGGAGATGTAGTGCACCAATTATCGGAGATGGATGGTGTTGTTATTTTTTCGCCACAGAATGTTACCTGGCTCGCCGACGAAGCTATATCCTTGAAAGAAGGAGGAGTGGTGGTCGTCGTAAGATTTTGGAATTTTTTTAAATTATTGTTTGAGATTTTTTTGGTGCAGACATGGATTGGGTTTTGGGAATGAAGGTGGGTGATGGTCTCGTGAGTTTGGGGGAAGAAAGGTGGGTGATGTGGTCTGTTGGATGATAGCGTTTTTCCATTATTTTCTTTTTTGTCTTTTTTTTTAATATTTATTTGTATTTAATATTAAAGATGCAAGTGAAGGGACGAATTTACCCCTCAAAATCTCACGTACAAAGCACATGTTTTAACATTTCGGTTAAAATTGCCGGAAAATTGAGTTTAGGGGGTACCGTGCAACGAATTAATGAGTTCATGTAAAAACGTGCAATTTTTTTTTTATTTGAGGGGTAAAGTGTAAATCGGCCCTTAATTTAGAGGGCAAACTGCTTTTTACTCAAATTAAAATATATGAATGGGCTAAATACACATGGCTATAAATTGATAGAAAATATTTGAATTCTATAGTGGGCTGAATGAAGCCCACCATTGCCAAAGGGTGCGGCGATTTGTTTATTAAGATTCGCGAGAGAAATAAACGGTCGAGGCGGTTTTTGGGTTTTCGGATAGTTGTATCAAATTAAAGGCTAATTAGTGGAATTCTTAATTTTGTGCAAAAAAAAAAAAAAATCTAAACAGTCAAGTATAAGAAAAACGGAGGGAGTAGTTGCCAACGGATTTTCGAAAAAATAAAGTGTACATATATATGCACTTTTCAAAAATTTCGGAATTGGCGCGAGTCGATCTTAGCTGTGTAAAAAGCTCATCTAACATCACCGAGTGTAGCATCTACAAAATCCATCGCAAGTGGTATGAGATGTTACACTCGATGAAATAATTCACGAGAATACATAATTATAAGCGTACATTTGCTTACTACATAAATACTGACTTTGCACTAATTAATTTGACAAAGATTCATAGAAAAAAAAGTCAAAAGAAGTATTTGAAAATTTCAATCGTACAAGGCATGTAATGAAGATTTAAATTGTGCGTTTAGGGCAATTGACCGATATTAAAGGTAAGTAATTTAAAATTTATTTAATTCGATTATTTGTTTCATAATTTGTCCATAATTAAATTTTCTTCTGCCTAAATACCAATTACCCAGCTGGTGAGGAGGAGCCCTTATCAGCATTGCCGCCGCAATCACACAAACCCTTTCACGCGGAAAACTTCGAATTGATTCGTCGGAACAGACACCGGGAAGAATTTGAGAAGCGGCGGCGGCGGCGGCGAGGTTTGCCGTGAAGAGATGGGAAATCCTAAGCAGAAGTGGACGGCGGAAGAGGAAGAGGCGCTTCGAGCCGGTGTGGCGAAACACGGCGTCGGAAAGTGGAAGCTTATTCAGAGAGATCCTGTGTTCAACCAACTCCTCTTTGCTCGCTCCAACATTGATCTCAAGGTTTGTGCAGGATTTATAGGTTTTTTTTCTTTTTTCTTCTTTTAATGTGTTTTTTTTTTGTTTTACTTTTGTTAATTTATTTGCATTTGTGCATTCATTAGCAGAATTGTAGATGGTGTTCAGCGGCTCGTAATCGTATAATTAGGATAAAGTTACTGTTGTGTTTTTCCCCAGTTCATGTGTTGTTGGTTCCTGCTTATCCTGTTGCTTAATTGGTTGGATAAATTAATCGGACATCATTGTAATTAACTTGGATTTGATAGTTGATCCCGATGTTAACACGTGGATTCGATACTTGATCTTGCAATAAATTTGCTCGTACGGTCCACATTGATTAGTTTCCAAGTCTGTAATAAAATTCACGTCGTCATGTTTTATTATTTCGATTAGGATGAAGTTAATGTTGTGTTTTTTCCCAGTTCATATGTTGTTGGTTCCTGCATATCCTGAGCTTAATTGGATGGATAAATTAATCGGACATTATTGTAATTAACTTGGATTTGATAGTTGATCCCGAGGTTAACACGTGGATTTAATAGTTGATCCTGACGTTAACACGTGGAGTCGATAGTTGATCTTGCAATAAATTTGCTCGTACGGTCGACATTGATTAACCCGAGCATATATTTCTAGGGTTTCCCTAATCTCTCAAGAACTCCCCTGAAAAACTTTAATGAAGTTTCCAAGTCTGTAAAAAAAAAATTGACAAAAATTCATGTTATCATGTTTTATTATTTCGATGCTACTGCTCGTAGATAAAGATGTGTGGTTGCGTCACTATGTGCACATCCATAATCATATTATTTCGATGTTACTGCTTGTAGACAAAGATGTGTGGTTGCCTCACTATGTGCACATCAGTAATCATACTCTTTACACAAGCTTACTTACTAGGTCTCTGGTTACTAATATAAATTGGTCAAAAACAAATACAAACATGTCCGATTAAACCAGAAACCGTACAATTCGTGACTGTGTTATTGTTTTGGTTATGCAGGATAAATGGCGGAATTTGAGTGTAGCAAATGGACAAGGGCCTAGAGATAAAACGAAGATAACAAAACCGAAGGCCAATCCTGTTGATGCACCTGCTACCCCACTGCCAGCTGTCGCTCAGCCCTCTACTGCCGTCGTTCCATCTTCGCAGGATGTGGTAACTACTGATGTAGTTATGCTAGATCCTTCGAAACCCTTACCTGAAGGAAACAACGCTGCCAAGTCAGTTATTATCCCATGTTTATATTTAGTGTACTGGTATTATCTTTTTTTTTTTTTGGCAATAATTATTATGCTAGCAACCCTGGTCATCTAGTGAATACGCTGATATTTGCTTAATCTCGAGAAACCTTATTAATCTAGTGAAATTTGTAAGGGGTCTAGATGCTTAGATGTCAATTGCTAGGTGTTACGACTTACGTATATGTCGATTGAAACCATATTCGATATTTTGTCTAACAGGAGAAACTTCATCAACATTTGAATGAACTTGCCGGCCCGACATAAATTCTAAAATTGGAGCCCATATCACGAACGGCTTAATCTGATTTTTTAATTGCGAGAAGTCTTGTGTAGATCATGTATGGAATTGAACTAAATATATATAACTAGTCAATATCTAATATCACATATATATGTCTTTCTTCCATAACGTAAACCATTAGATGCAATTGGATTTGAGAATCAATCCAAATCCCGTTTTTGTAAATTATTTTCTCCCTTCCGTTTTATTTATGATTATTCCAAACCAATACAATCTATTTGGGCAAATAAATTAGTGCGAATTCTTTGTGAGGTTAGATTCAAAGATAGTTTTCTTTCATGGATTTTGTCTGCCTCATTGAGCGTACTTAAGGGCATTTTAGTATTTACTCTTATCTTTCCATTTTTGGGCTCGATGAATGTCCAAAGGGGATGTGGAATATAAGTTTCGGTTGCAAATTAGATTATGACACAGCTTAATTGACAATAACAGATTTGTTTGATTGAGGTTTTGTTGTTGTTGCTCATACCTTTATAAATCTTTATTTTTGTTTAGGACATGAAATAATTGCTTTGTTCTCAGGTACAATGCAATGATATATGAGGCGTTGTCTACTCTTAAAGAGCCAAATGGATCACATTCTGGTGCAATTGCTACTTACATCGAGGTTTGTCTTTCATGCCATCATTAGTTATATATATTTAAAATTCATAATATCCCTCCGATTATATCGCTCGGATGTACTGCATGCAGCAACGGTACGAGGTGCCGCAAAAATTCAAGAGAGTGCTGAGTTCTAGATTAAGGAGGCTCGTGGAACAAGACAAACTTGAAAAGGTGAATATTTTTTGAGTTCGTTTTTTTTCCTAAGACAAAAAAAATTACTAATCTAAATCTTGAAATCCAATTAATTACAGGTTGAAAATTGCTACAAAATGAAAGGTGACGACGCTTTAGTGACAAAAGTCCCACCTGTGAGACAGAAAGAAACGTGGCCGAGACAAGGCCAGAGCATAGGATATCTGGGAGATACAGTGGAGGAAGCAGCTACTGCTGCCGCTTACAAAATCGCAGAAGCTGAGAACAAATCGTTTGTGGCAGCTGAAGCAGTCAAAGAGGCAGAGAGGGTTGCGATGATGGCTGAAGAAATGGAAGCACTCCTCCAGTTTGCTACAGATTGCTATGAACAATGTAATTAAATAAATTCTCTTACCGTTTATTGTTCTCTTATTTGTTGTTTTTAAAACATGTCGTAATCGAATCTGCATCTTTTGTTTGTATCGGCAGGCCAACGTGGTGAAGTCGTTCTATTTGCATAGGATTCGTGGATCGACGGTGCCTTTTGTGAAAGATATATATTACTTTTTCGAGAATTCGTAAATATTACTTGTTGTCGTTTTGAGAGACGAAAAGATTATTTATCTGGTGTTGCATTTACTGCATTTTAGTTTATGTGTTTTTTCTGTTTTCGAGCTTGATCTTGACATGTGAGTGTTCTTCTTCAATAGATTCACTTGTGGACTGAAAATTTGATTGATGCGTAAAAATGAACGATGATTCTAAGAGAAAAAGAAAAGGGTAAATTACGACCACCTCCCGAGGAAAGATCAAATTATGAAAAAACTTATCTTCTTTCCATCCCTCAAAAGTGAATATTTTTACACAACCATTCTTAGAGTGTCCACAAAATTATCTTCTGCCAGTCTTGTGTACAAATACTTTATTCTTACGATGTCGAATTAAACACAATCTTCTGTAGTTTGCAATCGTTTTGTGTAAAAATGCAGTTTCTGATGCACCACAATCTGATATTTATAAAATTTGGTAAAACGAGTAAAAATTAGAGAATATTCTACATAATCTAGAAGATTCCATTAAATTTGACAATACAATGTCGGATGTGTAAGAACTAAGAAGGTTCACGGTTGGTTTAGGTAGGTGATTGTAATTATTCAAAATATGAGGGATCTCTTTGTAATTTTACCCTATCTCAGGCACCGTAGTTTAGCGCGCGAATACTCGTCCAATTCGACCCAAATACTTGTACATCACAGTTCGTCGATTCAGCGTATACCACCGATTCAGAGGAGTGGAGAAACGGGAGAAAATGGGCGTGGAAAAAATGGACTGCACAAATTGGGATGAAGATTCGTACAGAGACGGCATTCTACAAGAAAGAGAAACTCTTTCCCGGACCGTTTTCCGGACCGCCTTCGCCCCAAACCCTAACCCTAATCCCAATTCCGACCACATCATCACCGCCTCAAGCGATGGCTCCATTGCCTCTTACTCCATTTCCGCCTGCCTCGTAATTTTCACTTGTTGGCATTCGATTGTTTCTGTTAAAACCTACGCCGAATTCTCATTCTGATTTTTTTTTTTTTTTGGTTGTTTGGTGGCAGGAGATGGGTTGTGGAAGCGCGAGGGGTCGAAAGTGAGTTCATTTCATTTTATACATACTAGTTTGTTTGCTGTTTCTTCTTTTAGTTATTTATATTTGGTTATGGTGTATTTTGAATGACTGGGTTTTTGTTTTTTGTGAAGTTGGTTAATGGCAGAACCACAGTTTTTGATCCAAGGGCACGATGGGCCAGCTTATGATGTTAAATTTTACGATGATTCGTTGTTGTTGAGGTATTAATTCATTATTGTGATTGGTTACGTGTTTTCTTGATTCTACTTAATTGTTATCGAGTAACACATTGACATACATGTTGACTTTGGGCTACATTTTCTAGTTGTGGTGATGATGGTCGGATTCGAGGATGGAAATGGAACGAACTTTTAGGAAGTGAGGTGTCCATGGAAGGTAATTTCAATTTGTCTTTTAAATCATAAAAGAATACACTCATTAGTAGTTGATTTTTTTACTGTTGTATTTTTTTTGTCTTGCTCGTTGTCTTCTTCTCTTGTTTGTAATTTTCATTTAAATGTTTTTGCAGGAGCCAAGATGAAGCCAATACTTGACTTGGTGAATCCTCAACATAAGTTAGTTGTCTTATTTGAAATGAATTCGAAAATACCAAAGTTAGCTTAACTATGCTTTTTGTATCTGGTTCTGTCCAGTGTTAAGGGCCAGATATATATGTATATATATTATATAATATATATTGCATGATGGGAATGATTACAGTGTACTGGATTCTTTAAAACCTATTAAGTCTCCATGAGTTAATCTATATGATTAATCGTCAAATGTTTATGCTTACGATGAAGTGATTTGACACGACAAACTTCATTTTCTGAGTTGTCAAATATTAAAGGGGTCTTAATAGTTAGGATATGCATTTCATGTGGTGTTCTAGTATTCAGTGGCATGGCACCCTATTTCCCATGAACACCAAGGTTAAATTTATTTTATGTTCTCCAAGACTTGTTCATGTTGAGAATTTTTGTATTCAAATGCATTTTACAGTAGTTTAATTTTATGAGCTTGTAGGGTCTGTAAATTGCGATGTTTTTCTTACTTTATTTACTACCTCTTTTTGCTTGTTTATAAAATCCACTAGTCATATATTTTGTTTCACTATCATCAATCACCAACTTTCTTGTATTATTCTTCTCTTGCAGGGGTCCTTGGGGTGCTCTCTCACCAATTCCGGAAAATAATTCTATTGCAGTTGATTCTCAGGTTTGAACATTTATTTCTGCTTAGTGTATCCACAGTTTTGACATGTTTAGTTTCTGGTGATTTATGTTTTGTCAGGTGAATAGATTGATTAGATATTTGTGGTTTAAGGAGATGGAACATTGTAAAGTGCTAGACTTTCTACTCTGACATAAGCTGCCACCTCAGACATAAGCCGTTATTGAAGTTATTTTATCCATTATTTCTGATGCTTTTAGAAATTTACATATTTCTACATCCTGGTACATTTGTGCATTGTGAACAATCACCCGACCCTCCTACAAATTTCCTGGCTAAAAGTAAAGGGATTTTTTGTAGCATAACTTTCTTACCTTGAAATAATAAATTTGCACAAAGCAATGGCCATGGTATTGTTAAATTCTTCCAATATTTGTTTTAGGGATGAGGTTAAAACTATTTATATTTGCTGACTTCCCAAATATCATTAGTTAGCATATTAATTTGAGTAGTTACGGCAGCAGACTTTGTCATGTTTTCATTTTATCATATTCACTACTTATTTTGATCATTGGTTGTAGAGTGGATCTATATATGCTGCTGCTGGTGATTCTTGTGCCTATTGCTGGGATATGGTATGTTTTGTTTCGTTTTTTTTTTACTGAATATTTTCTTGAAAGACACTGCGATTAGCACTGACACCGTAAGTAATATGTGTCCTGACGATCAGGAGAAATGCGAGGTCAAGACGGTTTTTAAAGGGCACTCAAACTATATACATTCCATCGTTTCCTGCAAATTAAGCAATCAGGTCAAAACTTTCCTTCTCTCCATATGCTTACTGTAAGTTTTTCTCCAAATTATTGTGGTGTCAAATAAATCATAAAGAGAAAAAAAAAAAGAAAAAAAAAAAGAGAAAAGAAAAGGGAAATAGTCTTCGAGGTTAGTTGCATGAAACAAGCAAATAATGCTACTGGAAGTTGTATAAATATTAAATTGCTGGCAAACTGCAATAAGAGCTGTATATTAAGATTTGTTTTGAAAGGAGGTTGAAGTTAGGGAGAATGTTATAAACCAAATTTGTCTTTGATACGTTAGGATTGTAATCTTTCCATATCTTGTTTGGTTGCATTACAGATTATCACTGGTTCAGAAGATGGTACCGCACGCATATGGGGTACTTGAATTACTGTATTTATTGGGGAAACTTATCATCTTCCATGTTTTTTGTAGTTTATATTGCTTATTTATTTGATCCTCAACTTCGTATCAATTCATCTGACTTAATTAAATTATGGGATTTGGTGTAGATTGCAAAAGTGCGAAGTGTATCCAAGTAATTGATCCAGGAAAGGATGACAAGAAAGTATCTTTTCCATCTGCTGTCAGTTGCATTGCTCTTGATTCAAGTGAGAGCTGGTTGGTAAGATTTCACGCAGCGACCAATTTGTTCTGTTGCGCTTCTGTGTATGTATATATTGAATTTAAGTTTTAATGCATGGTATTATATCATAAATTGATCAAGATCTGGATAGAGTACAATTTTCATTTGGTAATTGAAAGACATTTTTGTCCTGCTATTTTTTAAATTATCATAAATTGAAAGGCTGCTTTAGTTTTTAAGTTGTGTTCAGAAAATCTAAAGAAAGGAATTGAATTTGTTTACTTCTCTGCTGTATATGACTGGACCTTGTTGTACAATTTCTCATATATCGGTACGTCGCAGGTTTGTGGAAAGGGTCAGTTCTTATCAGTTTGGAATCTTCCTGCTCGTGAATGCGTTTCAATGACCAAAACTAATGCTTCGGTCCAAGATGTTATATTCGATAATAATCAAGTAAGGTCCTTTATATCTACCTCATATTCCATAGAAAAATGACGTTTAATTGAAGCCTAAAATAGATTGTAATTTGCTCAGATTCTAGCTGTTGGAGCAGAACCATTACTTACGCGATTAAACATGAACGGGGATATACTCTCGCAGATTCAGTGCGCTCCTCAATCTGCGTTTTCCCTTTCCTTGCATCCTTCAGGGGTAAGTTCTCTACTACAATAACATATTGCGGCTATATCTTACGTTTGTAACTTTTTTTTTTTTACTTGTGCTATTATTTGGCCGACGCGTACATATGGACAAGAATATATTAATGAAAACTGTATTCTTAATAAGAAAAGAAAAATATGATTCTCACTTATCCATGGAATTATCGCGTTCGTTCGTGCAGGTAACAGCTGTATCTGGTTACGGAGCACTTGTGGACATAATCTCGCAGTTTGGGAGCCACTCGTGTACATTTCGATGCAGAGGCTTATAAGTTATAAGTTGAGCATTTATTTAATTCTGCGAGTATATTTTCGAGTTTTTGGCAACTGTTGTTGCTGTTTGGTTCAAAACTTCGAATATGGTAAAAGATGTATTGTCTTAATTCTTGAGTCACGTTTGCTAAGGCTAGTCTTCTATTGTACTTCTTTTCGTGGATTCGTACTGCATTTGATTAAAATTGGCTTCTTCAATATATTAAAAAAAGTCCAAATAGAAATAAGTTTATGAAAATAAAAAGTTGGAAGTAAAATTAAACAGTAACATTTACATATATGACAATCTAACAAAAAATATATCCTCCAATCCCTAATATACCTCCAATATATTGCACTTTGTACATAAACGACCGCAACTACTCTTCGAGACAGGTCCAAAAATCGAGAAATAGCACCTCCAATTTGCATCCCCCGCAGGTTAAAACTTCAGCAAACCAGGGTGAAATCCTGTCCTGTTTCTTTCCCCTCGTTTCAGACATCCTCAAAAGCTCAAACTTATTACAAATCATACGAAACCCATCTTGTAAAGGCATTAACGAGGACAATCTACAGCAAAATACTCGCCTGTAATGGGGATGAGAATAAAGAAATTACTATCGTACGATGCCCAACATACGATTCCATCGCATGATACGATTTAATCTGGAACACACCCCTATCGAAATCGAAAGAATATATATATATCCTCCAATCCCTACTATGCGTCCTGCACCTAACGCAATCTCGATAAGTAATGAAAACTTCTCTTGGCTGTGGATTTAACTTAGGAAGTAATAATCGCACTCTTAACCCTTTTCTCTCCATTTTGACCCTCGCATAAATCTTCCACGTGGCCCAGGTGTTCGTTTCCTTCTCCGCCCAGGATCCACATAAAGGAATATACCTGAAATTCAGACCGTGTGACAACAGTTAATATTTATATATATATATATATATATATATATATATATATATATATTCACACATAGTCCAGTTATCAAATGCAATTTGATGCTTACTGCCTACTGGTATATTAGTTTCGTATGGATAGTGCTTTTAGCTGCTTATTGCATATGTAAGCATCGCCTGACCATACAATGTCTGGATTTTGATCTGCCATTTGTCTCGACATTGGACCTGAAATTCGAGTCTTTTTGTGAGTAACTTATTACTAGGAATTTAAATTTTGACAAAATTAAAAGAAAATTTAATGACCAGTTTAAATTAAATTAAATTACCTCAACATCCAGGAATCTAGTACGCTTGGAGAAACGAGTGATCGTGGTCGTGAGATATTTCAGATGTGGTGTTTCCTCGATCTTTTGCTCATCTGCATTTAAATGAGCAGATGGGAGAGTTAAATTATCTCGAACATTAAATCTACAACACAATCAAAATGAGATGTTGGCGTATTTCATCGTGACAAAAAAAGAGAGGGAGGGAGGGAGGGAGGGAGAGTAAAACTCAAATGCAACATTAAAGAGGACGAAAAACATCGGATCAACAAGTGCAGACACCAAAAATTATACATATATAAGAACATGTAAATGAAACTGAATTATAAAAGGAGAAACGTTAATCAGAACGTATGTCCTTTTGTATAATTAAAATAAAATTCGGGGTATAACTAGATTTACAGATCCCCGACCGATATCATATCAAAAGTGTCACAAAAAAGAGAAATTAAATCTCATCAATAATACTGTGAACGAACTCCAGAATTACTCGGACGCTGAATGCAAAAATCAAGAACGAAAAACATTCATAAAACCTATTAACCATATCCCCCAATTTCACCACATCTGGAAAAAGGCTGAATTCACCAATCATTTCATTACAAAATCGCAGAATAAAAAAGGACAGGATAATAATTTTACAAAATTGTTACCTTGAACTCGATACAAAACGAGGTGATGATTCCAAAGCTCGAGAAGAGGGATGTTTACTACAAATGCAGGTGTGCAAATTACAATGAGAACCCACCCCTTTTTATAGCACGGAAAATTAAACATGTGCTACCTCAGCATGACTTCCGCACAGAACCTACAGATTTTATCGTAATGAATTTCATGAAACAAAGCAAATTCCTATCTCGACAATTAATAGCCTAGATATTGCAAATCTTATTTCAATTGACACATTAGACAAAGATCATGGATTTTAACCATGCCGTTAAGGATTACATGCCATGAAATCGTGATGACCGGTATATTTTATTGGTGAAATGGTAAGCGTATATATGACAATGAGGAATAATCGAATGCAGATATATACCATCTGACATTTAGATTTGGTGCTAACAGTTCACATAATCTAAAGGAAATCTAGATTTCGTACACACGACTACGAGGAAAAACTTTAAGACATGCGATGTGATTCGATTTTCTTGTTGTGAATAGAAGTCTTATAATTTATATAGACATATTAGATCCTCAAAGATTAATGTGACATGATTTTGTACCGATTCGGAATAATTACTCGAGTGATTTCGATGACGTTGACTTTCCATGAAATCGATTATACATCACTTATATGTATGATAGACTCATAATATTTTAATTTATGTAGAATTTTTTTTTTCTTGCACTTCAGTAGGATTTTAGTTTTCAATACAGATAGCTAATCATAAAATTCTAGGTTTTTCTTAGATTTAAATTCTAACTGCTAGGATTTCAAAAAGCCAAAAAATATTATTCGATATACCTGATCGATCATGGAGTGCAACAAAGAAGAGGCGATGCGAGCGAAACAAATTGCCGAGACGAAGATGGAGAAACACGATTTCGAAGGAGCTCGAAAGATTGTAATGAAAGCGCAGAAACTGTACCCAAAGCTCGAAACTCTTAACCAGATGGTAATCATATGTGAAGTTATCTGTTCAGCGCAGAAGAGCAGCAGCAATTTGGCGACGGAATCTGATAACGACTGGTACGGAATCCTGCAAATCGAAAAATTATCCGACGAATTGACGGTGAGGAAGCAATACAGAAGGCTTGCTCTCTCCCTTCATCCTGATAAGAACCGATTCCCCGGCGCGGAAGCTGCTTTTAAGTTGATTTCCCAAGCGTACGAAGTGCTTTCAGACCCCAAAAGCAAGTCCTTGTACGACGGCAAGATTAAAAACGACGCCGGATTGAATGGAGGTGTGAGATGCTATAATGGCGGTGGTGATGCGAAAAGCGGAAATCTGAGAAATATGAGGAGGAGGAAGAGAGGCGTACTGGAATCTAGTGAGGGTACCGGTGAGAGCTCGACTGAGAGCACCGGCCGGAGTCCGTTTTCCATGGAGGAGAAGGCCAAACGACGTCGTCTCCGGCAGTGAAGGAAGATCTCTTATGTAGCTCTCTCGAAAAAGGCATAATGCGCGCACGTGCGAAAAGGAGGATGGTGAAATATGCGGATCGGGTCAAATGTTTGGATCCAAATGATTCGGCCCGATATGAACTTTGCAACAATGGGCCGATTTCCGGCCCGTATTAAATAAATAGTGAAACTAATTTTTATTATTTTTCATTTATTTTTTGTTTATTAGAAGAGCTTTTATTTGGAGCCGGTTTTTGAAATTTATTTACATGTAATATTTGTATTATTACATTTTATCTAATATTTAAAAGAATATTTTTTATGTCATCACATTTAAATTTTGAGATTTTTTTTTTTGCAGATATATAAGTAAAGGATTATAGAACTCGATAGAGAATCATTTGATGTAACCAGGCTTGGGTCGACGGTCCGGACTCGAAACTCTAACTTTAAAATAGGGCTGGTTAAAGGTCATAATATATGTAACCTGTAGTTGTAATGAAGAGAAGTCGACAGCTACTTTCGAAAGTGCGCTCACCATTTGAAATTGATATTGAACGGCCAAGATCGAACAGATGACATTGATCATAGCCAAGGTGACAAACTGACAATAGCCGAACAAAAAAAAAAAGGGCAAATGATTAGATTTGATATTTTATAAAATTGGTCGACCCCATCCACGGGTTTACCAGTTGACCCGTCACGTCGAATTCAGATTAAACGCTCCCGATGGTCTTATCAAAGTTTCACATTTTAGACGATTCAAATAAAATAAAATTAAAAAAATCGCAGTTAACCAGCAACCTTAACTGCTAACATTTTTAACCCTATTCTTCATTTCTCGGACCCGAACCCGCGGGCTTCGACCCAAACCCCTAACTACGTCCAGTGGATCCAACCCAAACCCGAACTAAACCCATACCGTAGTCATGCCTAATTTGATGATAACATGTTTAACGACTCCGAGAGACCTTATTAATTAAATTTAAATACGGATCGAGCCGAATATAAATTCGTCCAAAACCGACCCATTCGTCATGTTTATAGCTTGGCCCAAGCCCAAGCCCAAATCCATTACTGCCTTATTCCAGAAACTTCCAAAACGACACATGTTTTTCCATTGTTAAATAACAAAACACAAAATTTTCATTCAATCAAAGTTTTTTTGGGGCAAATGAAATTTCAGAGGAATTCAGGGTCCTCCTCTTTCTTCATTCTCCCTCTAAAAAAATTTCACTCACTTCCTTTTCCCTCCATTTTCTGCCATCTCTCCGGCTGTTGAATCTCTACTAAAACACGCCTTCTGTACAGAATTTGTTTCATTTTGCGAACTCCTCGTTCTCTCTCATCTGAACTGATAAAGGTGTGTATGTAGTGTGTGTGTAGATATATGTGGTGTACTGACATATCTGCATGTAGATAGTTCAGTTCGGCTGCTGAACGTTTTATCTGAGAATTCAGTGCTGCAATTGTAGAGTTTATCTCACGTTTGATGATTTCGGCGGTGTGAGTGGTGCCGGTTCGTTATTTTCTAGGGTTTTTCGTTTGACTTTCAATTGCCTTTTTTAGGTATGGCGATGATGTCTGGGTACCAGTGTTTTTTTAATGCTTTTTTTTTTGTGCGCTGTGAAAGATCTTTTTATTTGGGGGTTTAGGGTTTCGTCTTTCAATCGCACAGGTTTTCATTATTATTGTTTTTTTTTTCTGCTTGCTATTGACTTTGGGTGGTATTTGAGGATTAAGTGGAGGGGCAGGAAATCGGAATTTCGGAAATTGGAATGAAAAAACCTGTTCCTAAATCAGAAATTTGATAGTTTTTATTTTACTTTCTGAAATACTGCAAACTGGATTTAGATGAGGACTGTAATGTTCTTTCTTGTATTATGTTTTGATGTTCAGATACTCAATTTTATCGCCTCGTGCATTTTTTAGACAAAAAAAGTGTTTTTTTTTTCCTTTTTCTAACATGTTGAACTTTTGTTGTTATGTTTATGCATGTCTAATCTGCACTTCAAACTGGCAATTTTTTTTTATAATGTTTGGTGTCTCTGTAGAGCTCTTTATTGAGATGACTCTTCTAGTTTAAAAATCGGCATTAGAGTATTAAATCGCACAACCGAATTCTTGAAACTTGGTTAGCCAAAATTTGGGTATTTTTGCCTTCTCATGGAAATACTATCCTTGCCCTCTGTATATATTACCATCTTACCATTCCTTATACTTTTGGATTGTTTTAAAGTGATCTAGTTTATATAAACTGTTTCCATGTTGTGGGTGCTAGTTGTCTTAAGCATATTCTTTGTGTTGACTCCCATAATAGGTTTGGACCCATCGTCACGAAGTGCACTTGCTGGTAAATTAGCCTCGTGTTTGATACATGTAATTGTCAATGCGCGTTATCTATTTGGGTGTCAATTCTTATGCGCAATTTTGAAAATCCTTGTGTGACCTCAAACAGAACTAGAGTCAAATATTTATGTTGTCTTTTTGCCAAAATATTATCTGTTTCATCCTTTTCAGTTTGAGGGGATCGTCCTTCTTATCTATTCATCAAAAGTCAGAACCCCACTTCAATGTTTTTGACTGGAAAATAGAAATAATGTTAGTTCTGCTCTTAGTTAACACCTGAAGAGCAAGATCAACCTAATTAAGAAAGTTTGATTAGCTACGGACAATTGGATATTCTTTAAAAATAATGTGGGACATGGGAATAGAACTCATATCTTTAGTTGCTGAACATTATATGCCTGATAATTATAATAGATGAAAATTTTGTACGTTCTAAGCACAATAAGAATGGGAATGACGAGAACATCTGTTCTATTGACTTGATACACTTTTGGGCTATGAATCCACAGTATAGACCCTGTTCGAATTAATTCTGTGGTGATACATACTGTCACTTTATTCTGTCATTATTTATTTGCATTTCTTCTCATGTTTACTGCTATTTGCATGTGTGATGTTGAATTCTATTTGTGTCTCACCTTTTCATCTTCCATTGACAGAACCTATAGAAACTTTTGAGGGGATTGCATGAATACTTTAATATGAATGAAAATGTTGAATTCTGTGCTTTCTGATTTATTTTTCTGGATGGTTTGGTGTGTGTTCTGCCAGGTTTTGGTCATGGTTTTTCGCTTGTATCCTGTGCCTGCTTGATCAACCATATGTGCGGATCAGCTTCTTAATCCAAAGGTAGTAATACCAAGTCGTTGCATTAAAGTTGTTGTTTTCCTCTTGTCATGGGTACGAGTGCTGCTGGTTCATTTTCTTTATGCTTGATTGTGATTAATCAAAATTAGTTTTTGTTAACTCTCTGTAACTTTGTTTTTACTAAGAAAATGTGTTGGAATTGTGGTTGCAGAATTTAACTACTTGGGATTACAAGAAGAACATACATTTAGTATCCTTGAGAACTCGGGTCCTCGGCACTCCTGTACTTACATATAAGCAATGGATTGCAACAAAGATGAGGCGGTCCGAGCCAAACAATTGGCTGAGAAGAAGATGGAAACTAATGACTTTGAAGGAGCTCGAAAGATTGTAATAAAAGCGCAGAATCTTTACCCAGAACTCGAGAATGTTAATCAGTTGCTAAGCATCTGCGATGTTCACTGTTCATCACAAAAGAGTATGCTGGGATCTGATAAGGACTGGTATGGAATCCTTCAAGTTGAAAAGTTTGCGGACGAGTCGACTGTGAAGAAACAATATCGAAAGCTTGCTCTTTTCCTCCATCCTGATAAGAACCGATTTCCAGGTGCGGAGGCCGCTTTTAAGTTGATTTGCGAAGCAAATGCAGTGCTTTCGGACCCCACAAAAAAGTCTTTATATGACAACAAGATTCGAGTGCCAGTTCGATATCAACCACAACATCACGTGAATAAAACTTCCCAGGCTAACAAGCAACAGGCAGCTCAGAACAAATTTTCTCATGTTTTTACTAGTCTGAATCAACAGTCAAGTTCCTTCGTCAGGTCGGAAGTATTCTGGACAAGCTGCCCATTCTGCGTTGTAAGATTCCAGTATGATAGAAAATATGTGAACGCAAGTATAGTGTGCCATAAATGCCTCAAGAATTTCATTTGTTATGAAATAAGTCCTCACGAAATTCCTTTGGGAACCAAGTGGGGCCCACCAAGTGCTCAACCAATGCCTGCGCGACGTGGTGCGAGTCAATCTGCTGCTTTTCAAGAAAAAGGGGTACCGAATCAGAGTAAAATCCCAATGGGAGTTAGAAAACCCGTCGGATCTTCAGCACCACATGTCCAATCTCAGGTTAATGCCAGCGGGAAAAAGGTTAGACCAGAACCAAGTATTCGGACAGAAAGTGTTTTCAAAAGTACCCAGAATACTGCCAACTCTAATGTCAATTCTTCACATGGTTTAAAGGAAGGTCTAGCTAGCAATGGTGGTGCAAAAACTAGAGAAACAAGAGACGTGAAAAATAAAAGCAAGAAGACCAAGAAGAGGGGCAGAAAGCGTGTAGTGGAATCTAGTGAGAGTTCCGAGAGCTCTGAGAGCTCAAGCGAGTCTGACCTGGAAGATGTGACCGATTCTATAAACAATCTGAATTCTGAACCTGGTTATGCCCATATCCCGCGGAGGTCATCTCGGAAAAGGCAAAATGTCTCCTACAATGAACGCAATTTCGACGATATTCCTACCGCTCCCAAAGAATCAGAAGAAAGCAAGTTATCAGAGGACAATAATGGGGACGAGGTAAAAAAAGATGTTTTGGATGGTGAACATTCAAAGAATGGAAGCCAAAATGGTTTCTCTACTGACGCAGATTTCCCGAAGCCAGAAACTAAAGAAACGGGAACTGTTCAACCCAATGAGAGCTTGCAAAACAAGGATGAAGATGCCAAGGCGAAAGCACAAGCAGACAGTAAATCTGATGCTAGTGCTGATGCAATCGAAATCGAAAGTGATTCTGACATGGATTCGGATTCTGGCGATAGTCCAGACACAGACCTTTGTCACTGTGACGATCCGGAATTTAATGACTTCGACAAGGATAGAGACGAAAGCTGTTTTGCTGTTAATCAGTTCTGGGCTTGTTACGACACACAAGACGGCATGCCCAGATTCTACGCCAAGGTGAAGAAGGTTTCCGCTTCACCATTTCAATTGACCATCACATGGTTAGAAGCTCAATCTGCAGATGGACCTAACAAGGAATGGATAGACGCGAAGCTACCTGTCGGCTGTGGCGGTTTTAAGCCTGCGATTACTGAAAAGACGTCACTGCGACTTTCGTTCTCTCACCAAGTGCGGTTCGAGAAAGGCACAAAGAGGAATTCTTTAGTCATATACCCTATGAAGGGGGAAGTGTGGGCTATTTTTAAGGACTGGGATTTGAGCTGGATTTTTGATCCGGAAAACCATCAGGAATATAAGTATGAAGTAGTGGAGGTGCTCTCGGATTTTGATGATGGTGGCGGTGCAGAAGTTTGTTACTTGGATAAAATTGGAGGATTTGTGAGCCTTTTCCAGAGAAGCAGCCAAAGCGAGAACGGCGGCTCTTTTCGAGTGGGGCCCAGTGAAATATACAAGTTCTCACATCGAATACCGTGCTTCAAAATGACTGGCTCCGAAAAAGTAGGAGTGCCCGTTGGTTCTTTCGAACTTGATCCTGCTTCTTTACCTCTTAATCCCGATGGCTTGTATTACCCAGGCAAAGCGAAGATGGAAAACAAAGATATTGCGCCCGGAGATAATTGTGCACCAAAAAAGAAAGGGCAAGTTCATTAAGTTTGGGAGCTGTGCCTCGTTTTGAATTAGAAAGGGGAATGACGGGAGATTTCGAAACTTGCAGTAGCGGTGTCAACGGGAAATGATTATTATTATTATTATTAATATTAATTTTTGGTTTCAGGTAGATTGGGATTACTGTTACTGGTGTTTTAGTTGCAGCAACTGTTCTAACAGAGATGATGATGCCTGTTTTTGTGTTCCCCTTCAGTTATTTGTTCAGTTGAGTTCATTTTAAGTACATATGAATGTTATTTAATAAGTTGGAACCCATTTTATTTGGAGGAGTTACTATTTACTACCACAGAACCCAGTTTTTATATTTAGGTAAAATACAACCACCTCCCTGAGGTAAAGTCTATTTACGAAGAAACGTCCTCATGTATGAAAAATTACATCCACGCCCCTACAAAAGGGTGTTCATGTAATAAATCTATAAATTGCAGGATGGTGGATGTAATTATGAAACAATGAGGGTTTCTTTTGCAAATAGACCTTACCTCAGTGGGTCGATTGTAATTTACCCTTACATTTTATTGCATGTGGTTTTTGCTTTTTGAGTTGAAATTTGAAAATGATGTATATTTGTGCTATGTTTAGACTTGGTGGAAATTGTCATTATATTACCAATTCAATTTTCAAAAATGCTAATTTTGATTCAATCGATTTAATTATTAAAAAATCATAAATACTCTTTAAGAAAATAAATTTCTGTAATTTCTTAATGATGTTACATTGCAACCTCCAAAAGTTTCTGTTTTTTTAAATGCAGATGATATTTAAATTCTTAATTACATAAAGATTAAAAAAATCCCTTTATTAATATGTTGGGCTCGGTGGAACCTTTAAATCAATAATCTGGATATGGATTCACTCGAACCCGACCCACATCCCTACAATCGGTGCCCGTTTGACATTTGAAATTCTTCTTCCGGCGCCGGCAACCGCTGCCGGTGGTTTCAGCACATTTAACAGATATACACTATTAGGCTTACAATGTCGATGGCCGGCGACAACACTTGGGTTGGAAAAAAGCCACTGAGAAGAGTGGGAGGGATGTCCGATGCTCTCTCCATTGCCGCCGATCTCGGCTTCTCCGTCGCTCCTCCGCCTTCTCAGGTATTTGCAATTAGCAACACACATATACGTAGAAGTTTAGCTTTAGTATACTGAAATTTTAGCAGCGAGCCCTAATTTTGTTGAGTTTATTAATTTTGTTCGATCAGGAAGATATCCAGAACTTATCCACCGGTGAAAAGGGGGATGACTTGGTAAGGATCTTGCGAGAATTGACTGCTGTACAGAGGAAAATCGCGGATCTTCAAGTAGAACTTCAAGGCAGAAAGGTGATCAACTCATGTTTTTTTTTTTTTAATTTATTTCCCCTGCCATTGATGAATGATGTACCAGTTTTTGAAATTGTTACCTAGATTTTTTTACTGAATAATTTGAATGGGGGAGCTCATATAGTTCATTGTGGAACTTTTAGGAGGACAAGAATGTTGCTCATTTAACACATGTGAGTGAGATGGAGAAGAAGATCGAGACGTTAGCTCGTATCACAACTATACTGAAAGATGTTATTCAGAACAAGGTAATCAGTAACTTGAAATGCTGCCAAATTGTTGCTTTGAGATGATGTCGTTTAATTTTCGTTCGTACATTCTTTTCATGGAGTGGTAGTAATCCTTATTTAGTTATCAAGGAGTGAACTAATGCAATACTTACAGCGGATGAGAATAGAAGCAGATATTGATCTCTCTGTGTGTGTGTGTGTGTGTGTGTGTCGATTTTCCATGTCGTGAATAGGAGCAAACTCTTGATTTCTGCAAGTATCGAGTCCTTGACCTTGTACATGGTTGTGCTCGTATGAATCCTTAATAGATGTGTTAGGTATGGATGATTCTTGATAGGACAGAGAGGATTTGATATGTTGATGCACATTATATTTTCTTTCGTCTTTATATGTAGGCCCTTTTTTTTTGTTTTGCTAGGATCGGATTATTGCTCGGCTCCAGCAACCTTACTCGTTGGACTGCATACCTGTGGAAGCTGAGTACCAGGTATATGTACAATGAGATAACACCAGTAATTGTTATGTACTTGTAACTTATTCATATATTCCATTTTTTTTTAATTTTTTTTTCCCTATAAAAACGTGAATTGAAGTTGGACTAGTCAAGTTTGGTTAATTTTTGTCGAGCAGGTTTTAAAGAATTGTACGGTGTCACCTGTTCAGTTTTGCCTCGTCATAAGTTGAACTTTCACACACAAGCTTATTAGTTTAATTTCCTGTAATTGAGTCACAATATAAATCCTTAAGGGGGCACATATGACTTTGACCTTTTCATTCGTTATTTATTTTCTGTCCAATTTTTAGTTTCTTCTCAATTTGCTGCTCATCAAACTCGACAATTACTGAGTTGAAAATTAGCTGTTTGAGATATCTGTAATGCTTGTTTTCTTGTCCTCGATATTATGCAGAAACAATTTTCGGAACTGCTGATGAAAGCAGCAAGTGATTACGGAGCATTGACTGCTTCTGTTGGCGATTTCCAGTGGAGCCAAAACTTTAAAGAACCACCTACAGTATGGGGGGTAAGTCAACAGTGCATATCCTTTTACGTTGTTTCATATACAGATTCTTGAAATAGTTTTTACATCAATAGCAAAGATAGTATTGAAATCAGTCAATGTGCAAAATCAAAGTAAAGATTGGAGAACAAAATCGAACTAAATATCGACCTTGGTTTTAATCTTGTGATTTAGGAAATGCTTCGTCCAATTCCAGTAGCGTTGGCATCTTGCACTCGGTTCTTTGAAGCTATGACTGCAATGAGAGATTCATTCGCCAAACTCCAAACACTGAGAGTTGGTCATTCGTCTCAGAGAGCGGCAATAATGGGTGATTCTGATTGCGTAACTCCTCCACATTGGACAACTGAATCGAGCTTCGATGATTTGGCAGTTAGAAAGCAAGGTGACGATGCAAGCGGTGAAGTTGGAGTCGAAGATTACGTAGATGACACCACCCACAGGAGATTGTCTTGGCCCTCGCCTGTTAAGAAAATCGAGTCGTGATTATTACAAAATAGTACATTGTTTTTTTAATCTAAATATGTGTATCTTCATAATGTTTAGGGTTGATTTATTTTTTTTATTTTTTTTGGAAATCTAATTCTTAGACATAAGAATAGATGTTGTATTCCTCTACTAAGTATTCTTGAATGTATTTTACTATCAACGAGTGGGGTTTTTGGCTAAATAATTCTTACTAAGGACTTTAATTCAATTTATTAATCATCCGCAATATGTCTCTCGTATGGTTTGCAAGTTATTATACGAGAGTGTAGATTTACCCAATGCACATCTATGGTAGGCTGCGTATTTTTTTTTTCATCAAAATTTCATTGTCTCGAATTTTACAATGTACAAACATAAACTCTAGAAATTACAGAGAAATTATAAATACTAAAAAAAAAAGTATATTAAACATTATTCTTCCAATAAAATAAAGTAAAGAAAAAATATATATATATATATATATATATATATATATATATATATATATATATATATATATATATATATATATATATATATATAAAAGTTTCCAACCAAGCAAATATATTTTTGAATTTCACACACTACTTACATATTCCTCAATAGTCAATAATAACAAATGAATTAATAATAATAATTACAATAACATTATATGTTGAACCGGACCGCTTCGGTAAACCGGGCCGCTTCGACCCACCTTACCCTACAACAACTTCGGCCGGCCATTTTAACTCAAGAACAGAATCAAATAATAACTCAGTAATTTCATTTTTATTTGAGTTAAATCAGAGAGCTTGATTTCTGCAAAACGAAGACAAACAAAGGCGATTTCCTACAGAGGTATGAATATTCGAAAATACTATTAATTTTTACTAAGGTTATGTACACACTGTGTGTATGTGTATTTTAAAACTGCGCTGAATCATGGTGAATTGTTCATTCCTGTCGTAAATTTGAATTTGAGTTGATGTTATGATATGAATTTTGTTTGGTTCCTCGGAAGTTTAATGTAATCGCTTTGATTTGATCACTTCATCTTTTGGAACCAACTAGTTGGCAAGTTGAATGCACACCATGTGTTTGTTCTAATGCGCGAACGAATAATGCAGTTATTTTTGTGGCCTGGTTCTCGGTTGGCAAGTCTAATGCACACTATGTGTTTGTTTTAATGCGCCAATGACAATACAGTTATTTTTTGGGCTTGTGTAAAAAAAAAGTCTTCATCTCCTCCTTTAATTTCTGTGGCCTAACCTTCGTACATTCTTGTATCGTCTTCTGTTTAGGTTGTGTTACTAGGTTGTGTTACGATGTTGAGACTCGCATGTCGGAAGTTACGTGCTCATATGAATAGCGGGGTTAATATCAGGCCTTTATCACAGATTAGTGGTTTTCACTCTTCTCAGGTGAGCTTGCAATTTGTCGGCAATATAGTTAATTGTCTGAGTTAAACAAAATTTTTAAGTTTGATGCTGGAAAGTGAGTTTTAGTTTCAAGTCCATTTCAAGATTCAAACTTTTTTGTCATTACGATACTTTGCAGACTTGTCTGGCACCAAGAAGCTTTTTCGGCGTAGAAGATTTTCTTGACGACGACAATAGTCGGCCATACACTTATCAAAAGGGAAAAAAATCAAAGAATCCAAACAAGCACGTCTCTTTCAAGCAAAGAACCGTGGCTTACATGGAGCCATTCACTCTCGATGTTTTCATTTCAAAGCGTTTTGTCTCTGCTTCGATAACACACAGGGTAACTTGCAAGCAAGTTGCTGTTGCCGGTACTAACTCCAAAGATATCAAAGCTGCACTAAGATCAAGATCGGATATACCTGCTTGCTTGTCAGTGGGTCGGATTTTATCAGACAGAGCCAGAGAAGCCGATGTTTATACAGCTTCTTATACTCCAAGAGAAAGGGATAAGTTTGAAGGCAAAATTAGAGCTGTTGTTCAGTCCCTTATCGACAATGGCATTGATATCAAGATTTATCTTGATTAATATATTTTATTTTAAAGTTTATTTTTCTTCTCCACAAGGTTTGTTTTTGTTAATTTAAGACATATTTCTTTGTTGCGTAAATGGAGATTCAAATTCACTCCTACAAGTTTAAATTTTGCTACCCATAACCTTGTTCGTTCGGCGTTTTTAATGCTCTACTATTTTATTTTCTTGTCAAAAAAAAAGTCATAAAAAAAAGATAAATAAATATAAAATCGTTATCCGCAATAAAATTTAGTTCATCAACAAATAAGTAAAAGTATATAAAGCAACCCCTCCCTAAACATTCAAAGCATTTCTTGATTTCCTGCATGGGTAGGAAAACCATTTCCAGTTTGATTTGAATATTTGTCATCCTTTTGCCTTTTCTGCCTCTTACTGCTTCCATTTTCCAGGCCCCCAGTATTTGCATTGCCGTTTTTTAATCGAGACGAAGAAGACGAATTAACATCATCGGAGCTGTACGTATTATCGAAACCCGTCTCGCTTGTTTCGCACATGATAAATTACTTGGAGCAATAACCACATTGGGAACGTCTGTTCAAATACTCTGTAATGAAATAGTAGTTTCTACCACAAAATGTGCATTTTGTCCAGAATGCTATCGGCCTGATGACAGGGTTGATTACCTGAGTTACTTCACCATAAAAAAAGACGTTCGGGTAAATGCTGGTATTTGTGTTTGTGTAACCGTGATAATAATCATGCGCAGCCTCCGCTACTCTGATCTTGCTGTCGTATAAAGACTTTTTCTGGGGGTCCGAAAGCACTTCATTTGCTTCGCAAATCAACTTAAAAGCAGCTTCCGCACCCGGAAATCGGTTCTTATCGGGATGAAGTAAAAGAGCAAGCGTTTTGTATTGTTTCTTCACAGTCGATTCATCGGCAAACTTTTTTATTTGAAGGATCCCGTACCAATCCTTATCGTTTCCCCCCATCTTTACTTGTGCTGAACAGTGAACATCACAGATGATTAGCATCTGCTTGATAATAACGTTGTTGTTGTCGTCGTCGTCGAGTTCTGGAGAAAGTTTCTGTGCTTCTTCCATTACGATTTTTCGAGCTCCTTCAAAGTCGTTAGCTTCCATCTTCTTCTCGGCAATTTGTCTGGCTCCCATTGCTTTGTCGTCTTTGTTGAACCCCCCCATACGTAGGTACGTACTGTCTGATCAGATGAGAATTTTGTTCGTCTCGTCTCGTAAGTAAAAATCGCAACTCTGCAAACACATATTCCAGAGTTGGGAAAAAAAAAACCCCGGTTACAACAAAGAAACATGTTTCTGGGGTTTCGGGTTTCGGGTTTCCGATCCAAACTTAAACCCCCCATTAAACAATCATATCACGAATGATTTTACAAAATACAAGGACTGTCTGTATAAGCACAAACGCCAAGTAATTACTGCAGTTATGAATCCAATCAAGCACAAAAATAATATCCAAATACCAGTTTGTAATATTTGTGAAAGTAAAATAAAAGAATTTAATATCCTGTTAATCCTCAAAAAAGACTACGTACCAATTGTAATATTATGTAATTGAAAGATAAAATAAAATAACATCATCAACAATTCAACATACCTGTAACAGCTTGAGAATTAATTATGGGTAGGTATCGTCTTTCTTACGTTACATAGGGTTTTTCTTTAACGAGAGAGAATAGGTCTATTGATTATTTAGGTGACTTCCTTCACTACTAGAAAAAGTACCTATCGTGACGCCTCAATGTGTCACTACAGCCGCCTATCGTGACGCTTAGTCTATTGCGACGATAGTTAAAAGCGTCACGTAGGTGGCCGTCGTAATAAGTTTTTGTGGCGATTGGAGGCATCACGAAAAGACTGTTAGTATGACGCTTTTGTCGTCACAAATATGGATGTATCGTGACGATTACATGCGTCACTTTATTAATCCTCAACTACCATAACAACCTACTTATATGACGACGAAGAGCGTCTTTAAATGTTGGTATCGTGATGGTTTTAGCGTCTCTAAATGTAGAAATATTGACGCTATAGGCCGTCTTTAAATATATATATTGTGACGCTTTTTGTTGTCTTAATACATTCGATTGTGTGACGACTTCTGTGCCCCATAAAGTGGTTTTTTGTGACGATTTATTCGTCTTGACAGAGACTTTCTAGGATGCTTTTGTGTCTCATGAATATATCTATAATGACGCTTTGTGCCTCATGAATAACCCTATAGTGACTGTTCAACTTGTCTCAATAGGTATTTGTAATATCTTACTGATTGCATTTTTTAATGTTCCCTACTTACATATAATTTAATCATGTATATACATAATACATAAGAAACCGTATATACATAATACATAAGAAACTGTGTTTGAACTCAAATACAAAAAACCATATTCAATCTCCATCAACAAACAAAATAAATCCTTAGCCTACAATCAAACAAAAAATTAAGAAAATCTAAAATCATTCATTTTGTAATGTCTGAATAACAAGTAATCCAACACCAAACAAAAAATTAAGAAAATCTAATCTCCAAAAATATCCAAAAATACGACGTCTTCAAAATTCTTTATGCATCCATAATTACCTATTAAAATGATCAGAAATACCAATTAAGGTGAAATCAAAACACTCTTAAAATATAATATTATTGATAAGATCATATAAACGAGATTATTACCAAATATTGTGGCCAAGCAACCGTCATTCCAGTAACCTCGCCAATAGTTTTAAAATGGTAAACAGGGCGAAGCAACTCCTCTTCTGGTTCAACTCCTACATTAATGTGAACCTCACACCAATTTTGTCCTAAACGCATTTGTCCAACTTCTTTTAATGGATCTAAGCTCCGAATATAACCAACAGCCACAGTTTTGGATGATTCAACCAAACTTCTCATAGATACTTTTGCTCCGACCTGCAATTAATATTTATCGAGTTTTACTTGACTTTTCAACTACATACAAAGTTATAAGAAAACAATCAAAATAAAAATTAACTTTTTAATCGTAAACAAAGTATTAACATAAAAACTGATTATAATAAAAAAAATATACATATATATATATATATATATATATATATATATGAGATTCGTAGTCAGGTTACCCGTAAAGGCATCATGCTAGAGGATGATACTGAAGGACGACGAGAGATTGAATGATCATGAGATGAAGATACTGAAACAGATTTGGTGGCTTCTGGTGCTAAACTTTGTTTGTTCATTTTTATCAGCTCTTGTATTTGTTTACTCTGCTCCATAATAAGCTTATCTTGCTGATCAAGTCTTTGCTTCATTGCTTCAAATTCATTTTTATTTCCCATATACGTGTGAGAATATTTACCTTGCCTAGGCAAATCACCATATACAATAGATGCAGTGACACCTTTTCCGTACATCTTTACTCTTCCCCCTTTATCTTGCCCAGCAACTTGAGAAAATATATCATTCGGGCCCGTATCTTTAGCACCAGGAGGAAGTCCACTAACTAGTTCTTTCATCTTTCGCTGTACATAAGAAGAAATCACGTTATAGCACCAAATATACAACACTATTTCTAGTTAGTTCTCCTAAAATCACAAATTGTGCAAATAAGTTTGGTTAAGAAAGGTTGATTCAGTTCTTGAAGTACGAAAAAAAATCATATATACCAAATAATCTGCTATGTCGGGATTAGACGTCTCCCCGTTTTTGGTATAACACTTGGCAAAAAGATCCATTCTTGTTGGTTCGTTATCATTCCTAAGTTCATCAACATCTCTTTCATCGTCAGTTCTTTCATCATCATACTCTACTTCTTGCGAGGTCAATAACTCTTTCTGCAAAATAGAACACTCACTTGCATAAATACATTACTCAACAAGTTTACACTTAATTAATATGTTATAACATTAACATATTTTACAATCATACTAACCTTCATATTCTCTCTCACTTGAGCAAAACTTCTCTTTCCAGTAATGTGATCAATAGTCTTTTTTTTTTATTTCATATTCACTAGAGCGATGTTTTTTCCGCCTCACATGGGCCTCGTGTTGCCTACATAATATCATAAAAAATAGAAATAATTTAAATCATAGATGTAATGATAATACTAATAAATAAAAATATAATTTTACTGAACTTACTCACGATAGGATCTAATCTCTTCACAATTAAATAAAACGTATCGATGAGCTCTTGTTCTTGTGTCATTGTCCAAAATAATTGGCTTTCCCTTCCATAATGGACATCCAGGCGTCACGAATATACTTAAGCCTTGTGTGCTTTCTACACCAACACAATTGTTTCTACTAATCCGATTAAGTCTTGTTTCAATATTTTCCTCAAAGTATAAAGAGCAAAATACTAAACATTCTTCTGCCAAATACCCTTCAGCAATTGATCCTTCTGGTCGGCTCCGATTGCGTACATAAGATTTTAATGTACTCAAATACCTACGAATCAGAATATTAAAAATAAGTATGATATAAAAATATTAAAAATAATGATTAAATAACATTCATTAAAAGACTTGCCTTTCAACAGGATACATCCAACGGTAATGAACAGGCCCTGCTAATTTTGCCTCCGTGACCAAATGAACGGTCAAATGTACCATGATATCGAAAAATGATGGAGGAAATATCTTTTCAAGCTGGCATAGTATGATAGCAATATCCTTTTCGAGTCGAACCAAATCAGAATGATGGAGTGTTTTAGAACACAATTCTCTAAAGTAACGACTCAAATGAATCAAAGGGGAACGCACCGACTTCGGCAAAAGTTTACGTAAAGAAAGTGGTAGCAATTGTTGCATTAATATGTGACTATCATGACTTTTGAGACCAAATATCTTAGTTGGCTTCAAATGCACACACCTTGATATATTTGCAGCGTAACCATCAGGCACCTTTATTGTTTTTAGAACCCTACAAAATATTTCTTTCTCCTTCTTATTTAATGTGAAGGAAGATGCGGGTATCCATTCTTTTCCAAATTCATCGACAAAGGGATGGAGTCCTGGTCTTATTCCCATCTTTTTCATATCAAGTCGGGCTTTGTAATTGTCTTTTGACTTATCAGAATCCAATAATGTATACAAAACCTTGTCGCATACATTCTTCTCAATGTGCATAACATCGAGATTATGGCGTACTAA